TTAATTTTCTTAAATTTTAATAAAGTTCTTTATAGAATGAAACATTTCATTAAAATGATGCAATAGATATATGTTAACCAAGTCTCAATGGAGTAATAAAGCTCAAATACAATTAAGTTCATATTTAATAATGGGTTTATGAAGTTTGATATGAATTTATATGGTTTACTATGTTTATAACCACTAAATTATTTTATATTATTCACGATATGTATAAAAAAATATATACACTTTTATATAATAAAAGTTGCCTTATTTAGTTGAATTCGTTTTAGTAGCGCAATATTTTCGAAAAATTTGATATATTTTTGAAGAGAGATATTAAGTGAACGATACTCTAAGTCTAGGAAAAATAGTACACTAAATAAATTAATTATAAAAAAAAATTGATGTATTTAAAAAATTATTTTTTGTATACATTTATTGATGTTTAAAAATGAATACAAAATTCGAATAGAAGTTAATGCAATAATTAGAAAAATAGAGAATTTTTTAAACTGTGAATTGTAATGTAAATGTGAACGTATTTGAAACAAAAATATAAAATGATTTTGTTAAAAAAAATTAAAAGAAGTTGTTATTTATTTCATTATTTAATTTTAATTGCAAAATTTATTAAAGTATTTATATTTTGAATTTAGTTCGCAATTTCTATCATTGAGCTGATTATTAAAATTTATTTATAAATTTGAGTAAAGCAAAAAAAAAAAACCTTTAGTATATAAATCTAGTTATTTACTTTGATTGGTTGCATATTTAAAAACGAATTTAAAATATTTATTTTGTTTAAAATTAATTTTTAATATTTTCTTCTACTTTCCTTTAAATAATTCTTTTTATAATCCTTTTTGGCTTTCTTTCCTATTTTTATTTTATTTCTTTCAATTTAAACTTTATTATATGCTCGCAATAATATGCATATTTTTGGCTATTAATGAATGAAACTTAAGCAGCCAAAAACTCTACAACTAAACTAATGCAAATCTAAATAAAAATCCAATAGATTTTCTATTTAAATAATCTTTCCTTTCTAATACATAAAATAATAAAAATAATAATTTAATCATTTTTGTAAGACAACAATTGTTTGCAGTACAGTGTAAACTCGCATGCACTTCTATCTATTTAAATTATGTATTTTTGTAAATCGTACTAGTATGTCCAGTAATTTATTTATATACATATATATATTTGTAAATGTGTACGTTCTATTGTGATTATTTAAGTATGTATGTAACTGTAAGTGTTGGTAGTACTTTAGTTGTAAATTAAAATGTTGCAAATCTAGCAGTTGCAAGAGCCTTCTGCCCTAACAATGATATCTTTCATATGCAACGGATGTGCTTTTCTAACGTGACGCTCAGAGACATTTATAGTTCGGTTAATTGATTTTAGTTTTTTATTTTGATTTTTAAATAAAATTAAAAATAAAAAAATAAATTTAATGCTGCGCAAATAAATAATTTAAATTTTTTTTAAAATATTAGTACTTCAATTTTGTTTAAAAAATCAGTTTTTCAATTTTTTTAAATAATTATCACTACTTAAAAATTAAAAAATTATTGCCATTACAAGCAATGATTATAAAAGATTGTACTTCAAAATATAAAATAAACTTTAAAAATAAAATTTATTACAAATAAATAATCTAACTATTTTGCTATAAGTTCCGTTTGACTATATATACCTAAAATACATCTCAGCAAATATTCCAATGACGGTGCTCAATATGGTTAATTGATAATAAATTAAATAAATAACATCATTTTTGCAGCTTTTTTGGAGCAAAGTAGATTATTTTATGTTGTTTTTTGTCCCATAAAATATATATAAATAAATATTATAGTCAATATCTCATTCATAAGTCATATCACTCCTACACTTCTATATATGTATTAAGCTACACAGTGTTAATAATCGTTGATTGCCGTGATAATGTACAGAAATATGTGAAAATATATATAAGCTAAAGTTTATTTCGACGTTTGTTTTGCCGATTTGTAAATTTATATATATAAATATATATGTAAATACATATATTTAATGTAAAATTTGATTTTAAAATCTTAAGTTTATACTTTTAAAATTTCTTGTGTAAGAATAATAGTAATAGCAAGCAATATTTATTTACCAGGGGTTAAGCTGCTTAGCTTACCCAAGTTAGAGAAAAACAGGGTTATCGGTTAAGAGGTTGAGCAACCATTAATTTTAATATATTGTTTCGATCAAGTCTCTTGGGGTAAAATACGATATAGCTCAAATATATCTCTCCTCCTTGTGTATTTTTCCTCTTTGGGTGTAAGCGAGACCTGTTTAACACAGCTGTTGCTCTTTGTGTCATAGCACCAGTTTGGAAAATGCAGCCATTCTGCTCGCATATATTTAGATTTAAACCATAGTTACCATGACACTTTTATTAAAGGAGGCAAACTGTATTAGTCAGAACGCTTAAAGATATGTACCCTGATTTCCTACTACGAGATTTCGTCTGCAGCCGGGCACCATTCACTCCGTTTGAGTTATAGTTCAAACAGTATAGGGTGGTGCCTACAGGATTTTAATCGCTTCTTACAACAGGCATGCCTTATTTCGGGAATATCTGACCCTCATCTCACAGGGGTAAAAACGAAGTACTGTTGTGAAAAATTGCGCGATCTGAAATGTCAACTTACAATACACAAAGTATATTTTCATAAATATCCATGTCTTCAATTTTAAGTTTAAAGAAATCAGTAATTATTAATTAGATCTATTGTGACTTAAATTACGGCTATTGATGCATCAAGTGTATTTTAGATCAAGATCGCAGACTTTGTTCGGTGCGATAACACTAAAATGTGTACCGTAAACTACAAGGGGTTGTAGTCACAAGGCATGTGTAGGTAAGACTTTTTCAATCTCCAGAATGTATTGCGTTAAAACTACTTAAGACTATTTTATAAAAATAATACTAGATTTCAATAGAGTTCAATCTATATAGATTGGGAACCTGCACATAATTTTGTTGTTCATGTAAATTAACTATTAAACTGCTCTATGTTTTTGGAATTAATAGAAGCCTTCTCAAATTCTATCAACGCAAGTATGGGTCAGGTTCAAAGATTGAATTAGATAGTTCATCTTAATAACTAAAACTTAAGGTGTATTTAGTTGACCAATGTTAATATATGCTGCTTTGTCATTCAATGAAAGTATAAATATAATTGAAACTATAGTACATTATATATGGAACTCCCTGATTTATTTCAAGGAATTATCTCTATAAATTCATATTTTTTCAAATATATTAGTTAATTACAAATATACAAACCTTTCTACATAAAATTTTAGGCTTTACTAGTTCTGCTTACTTAAATATTTAGTTCGAATTGTTAGATCAAGTTCAATATAATTTATATATCTGACAAATCTTTATATGTTTCCGAAGAAAACTATATAAAAATGGAACAATTCATTATTAACAAAAATATGAGAAGATTAACACAGTTTTATAAGGTTTCTAATTTATATTATAATTGTGCCTAAGTTCATAATTTCATTGAGATAAATGTTTAGATTGACCTTGATAATTAAAACTACATCTTTATAAATAGAATATCTGATCTATAAGAATAAATAATTTTTTATCGACATACATATCCAATAGACAGAAATAATCATGATAAAAATTCAAGCTCCTATATTCCACATTAAAATTGTCATTATTACAAAAACTTTGAAACATTTTTTTTTAAATTTAGACATTATTTAGACATATTACAATTTTATAAAGTAAGTAGTTTTATTAACATCTACAATAGAACTAAAAACTTGCACAAATTTATTAACTTTCTGATCTTATAGATTTTCTACTCCAACCCTCTTTAAATGAGTCAAAATACTTTCTCTGCTTGTCTTAGTTTTTCTAGTAATCTTTTTTACCTTCGATGTAGTTATATATTTGTTAGATAAATTTAATTATTACATCTTTAAATATTTAATTTTCTGTAATTATTTACATCCCATAATAGTATATATGTTATAAAATGATATTATTATAATCTTTTGGTTTTATTGTTGTCTTTAAATATGTCCTTAAATATATTATGTATATCACTAAAAGCATAACTAAATAATTTAATTTAAAGTTGTTGTGTTTACTAATAAAAATACTATAAATGTTAAATATCTTCACTATTACTAACCTCTTATACATGATGTATGTATACCTAAGATATTGTTTAATAAGCCATAATTGATATGATTGTTAATACATCCGACCAAAGATTATATGTTGTCCTACCATTGCTGTTTATTTGTTGTAAGTTGTTGTGCTTACTGAGTGAATATGTGCAATGCTGTACATTGCTCAACAAAATTAATGAATTTTGTATGAAATATTCAAATAAATATGTTTTTAATATCTTTTCGTTTCATTTCGCTCAACAAAAAAATATTTTGATGCAACTACTATACTTGATATAAAAAAAAAATAATTTCAAAAAAAAAAAAAATAAAAATTGTTGTGATAAATCCGGCATATAACTACAAAACGGCTAAACAAATGAAAACTATTTTTAAAACATTTAATTTTTAATTAAATTAATTATCTAATAAAACATCTCCAAACAACTGTATTCTCATGGCTAATTTGGCGGTATAAAAATTACACTTTACACATTAAAATATAACAAAATTTTGAATTCGTTCATGAAAACAAATAAAATGCAAAACATTTAATCAACAAAAACATAATTAACACTAAAATTATTCAAAACAATTAAATGCGCTACATGTACAACAAATTAACATTTGCAACAATAAAACAATAAAATAACAAACATAATTATTATACGCATCATATATCATTAACAAACGATTTATATGCATAAATACATACATAAATACATACATACATACATATACATGTATACATAACATATTAGAAAAGCGTGAAAGTCGCAATAGATCAATTAAAAATTGGCATCGTTTAACCCACGCGCTACGGCGGTCACCCACAGGGCACAACCTATCTCAGACGGATGGGAATAGTACGGAAGGTGAATCAACCAGTGGTGGACGTAACCCAGCTACAACTGGCACTGGATGTTATAAAAACTATGATCATGTAGCCAATATGAGGAACTCAAATATGTCACATGTGAGTCCATCAAATTTAAAATCCATGTTGTTCAGCAATATCCTTGTAACTGACGTAATTAATGTAATTTGCATAAAATAACTAACATTCATATTTCTTATACATATTTTTAAGCAAATGTAAACCAAGAGATTTTAGTCAAAATTATTTTAATATTTTTTATATACTTTTGTTTCCATAATCATAAATTACTCTGCACATATAGCATCGCACGTCAGTACCTGATCCAGATGCAGTACCGCCCTATTCAGTGGATAATCAAGCGAATGCACGACAAACTTCTATGATGGCCATGGAAAGTTATAAACGTGAGCAACAAGCATTACTGTGGCAACAACAGCAACAGCAGCAGCAGCAGCAACAACAACAACAACAAACTCAAACTATTGGAAATAACATTTCCACATCAGCTGGCGCTATATTAACCGACGATGGATTACAGACGAGCGATGCGGTCGCAACAGTACCAACCTCAATGCCTGTACAAATGATGATTACACCAGGGGTAAGTGTAAATATTATAAGTAAATTAATTATAATTTTTGGAAATTTTAATCACTTGTACCAAATTAAGATTCTTCTAAAGTAAATGTTTTGTTTTTGTACGTATACATAACCATTTTTATTCTTTACGATCACTGTTGTGTGTTAATTCTCGCAATTCGCTCATCCATAGTCGACATCCAATTTTATTGTAAACTATCTGGTGCTTTTCTAAACTTAAAAGTAAAATAATTTACTATTTGCAAGGGATTATAATAATTTGTTATAATTTATTTCTTTTTTGGACTATAATTTTCTATATTTTTTAATATTTACTGTGTTCATTTATTTAGGGTAATAACAAATCTTGCTGCAAAGATTAAATTTAATTTTATTCTATTTTCATATTCTTGGTAGAATATGTATATAACACATTACATAGGATGTATTACTTTGAATCAGCTCCTTTAGTACTCAGTTTATGTTAATGTTTGATTGGCGCCTTTGTCTTCCAAAGGTACTTGAGTTAAATTATGTTCCACATTACAATATTTATACATCAGACTGACGGGTGACCAAAGAAGGCAACAAATCCAAAGTAATCACGACAAGGACAATATTTAAAAGGTAGAAATTCCTCATTTAATTAAAAGGGAAATAGCTGGCTAATCTATAAATAAGTCCGAAGCTTTAAATATGTCCAAAGAAGAATAGTTGTGGCAGGTCAATAAGAAAGTCGATTCTAAATATTTAAACTCATTTATTGACTTAAAATGGGCATTGAAACATAAACGGATGCTAAGTTGCACCACCCACTGTATGGTGTATAAAGTAATGTTCGTCCGATACTAGTAAGATCGAGGAGGAAATCTTAACACGTACCTATCCAGTAGAAAATGTGGCACTATTTCTATTTCGGGAAAACATCTTTTTCACAATTAACTTTTAGTAAAATTAACTATTTTCAACAACTTTTTCCACAACGCTACGTAGTGACGTATTCTTACCACATAGTTGTTTGTTAGAAGTTTTACTCTAACTGGTACCGGTGGGTATCAGTGTGTCTATACATGACTTACTCTCAACCAGATTAAGGAGAGAGTGTGTCTATACATGTATTTATGGCGTATTAGCAATAATTTTTATATTAAGGAATCAATCTGATATAAAAGATCATATTTTTGAGCATAACAATGCGATCGATCAGTAATTTGTGATAGTTTTCATATTAATATTTCTTCAATATAATATAATATAATAATATATATAATATTTACAATGACGAAATTCCATATATGTATTTTCTATCTGAAATTCTGTTTATTAATTAAAGCATGGTATATGGGTACATAGTTTGTTGGTTAAAGCATCACGCACTGCTTTTCTTCAGTCATCCTGTAAAGTGACCTAAATATTGCTCTTCTTGACTAAAACTCGCAAATTATTCATTGTGACTCATATCTATGCTCTACGGAATTGAAGCATTGTTGTTAATAGCACATTTCAAAGTCGATGGTGAATGATAAAAATTTTTCAACAGTTTTTTGGAAATATGACCAAAATTAAGAGAACTTAATTTCAAAAAGTTTGAACTTCAAAAGCCGTAACCAAAACAAACAAACCAAAAACAAGTAATGTGTTTTATACAATATATGGAAGTTTATGAGATTAATTATCAATTGGATATTTTTTCTTGAGATTCTTGATCATTACGAATCACAGAAAAGCTGAGATTTAGTTAAGACTTTTATATACTACAAAACTTCTGAATTAATCCTTTAATTTTCTCCTAATTATCGTTTATGCGTTTATATTATACATTCATTCTATTTTACTAAGCATAGTGGAGTCGTCTGATTCAGTTTACGTTAGGTTAGGTTATACCGGCGATCCCTAGTGAATCCTCTTAGGCCTATTGGTCCAATGTATTATCGTACATATAAGAAAAATTCAGGGTTTAAAACCACCTAAAATCTTTTACGAATCCTAAAATACTATTTAGTGTCAGATCATGTAATTTGCCAAGATCCTGACTCAGTTTAGTATATATAAATTATATGCAACCTTTTGAGATTTTCTCGAGATAATATTAAAAATGGAAATTTTTAATATTTTTTTTCGAGATTTTTAATATTATTTTCTTAAATTTGATTATAATGAATTGACAAAAATTATCATCCTTCAAACGTGGAAATTTAAGGTTCTACTCTGAAAGACGTCAGTAGAACAACTTAAATGGATGTTTAAGCTTAATCTGACTTAAAACATACTTTATTTGTATTTTAATACGAAATTACTCAGAATTTCTCACTTTAATAATGAACACAGTAGTTTGAGTTATCTATGATTTTTTAATAATATAAGTTCCTGTTTTTATTTTTATTTCAGTTCAAGTTTTTAATATTTAATTGCGACTTGTAATTTTTTGAATTTAATTTCATTCATGAAATCATTTTTCACGTAATTTTATGACTTTCGTAATTAGTTTGGAATATTGTAAAGTATGTTATGTTAGTGTGTTGTTCATTTTAATTTCTTTTACTTTAAGTTTAAAAATTATAGTAAAACTCACGTTGAAATTAATATACAAAAACCTTAGTCATATTAAAGAAATACTTTTGTGTTAATAGTCTTAAGCTCTAAAATATTCTTTTGTAATATAACACTTTTCAAACTTTAGTCCTTACGGGGAAGGAGTAAGGAGGTATAAATATAAAAGTCATGAAACTTTATCAACTTAATTATATTATTTATGCATAAAGCCTACAAGTTTTTATAATTTTTTTTTATTTATTTATTTCTGTCTTGAATTTCAAAGGCTGAGTTTTTTCCATAGAATTTTTGTATGTGTTTTTCATTAATTTGGAATTAAGTTCAAAAATAACTCAAATAGAGAATGCTGTAATTCAAAGCGAAATTTGGTTTTAAATTTTTTATTCTATTTATTTGTAATTCTAAACACAGATCTGTGTTTATATTTTTTTTTTAGTATAATATTATTTTTACGCTCTGTTCGGGAAATCGTTATTTTATATTTAAGCCGGATTTTGGTATTAAATTGTAATCAATTACTATAATTATATATTTTTTACTATACTCTGATTAAGACATTAAGATATTAATAAACCGGAACCATCTAATTTATATCATAAAATAATTAGTACTGTCTTCGTTGACAGTATTTACTTTTAAAAAAATTACGAGCGACTCATATTTTTGATTTATTAATTTTCGTGGAACTGAAAGTTATTTATAAACAGAATAGGAATTTTCTTTACTCCGATAACTTTGCTTATTCTAAACATAAACTTTATCATCATATATCAGCTTTTCAAACAATTTCAGTTCAATTTGAAGTTGCAGATATCAGTACATTTTTAGATTGACATTTTTAGATAACATCACTTATAATTGTTTGATTCCAGTTAGCAGATATTGCTTTAAAATAAACGTTTGAACCAATAAACTGTAACTGATACCACAACTGATACTGATACTGATAACTATACAATATAATCTATACAACAATGAGAATCCACTTCAAAAACAAAATTCGCAATGTTCTAATCATAAGTACTGGATACAATAACCGATAACTGATATGTCATTAACGATAGTTTAAATCAGAACATAAATATCAACAATGTATAATATGAAAGCTGTTTTCGTGGTAATAAGTGCGTTTTAATGCACACACATTCGATCCATTCCAGGAACCCCGACGACGAACAAAGTTATGATAAACAAGACTTGATGTATGTTTAGGTACAACTGATGGTTCCTTTTCGTTCAGGAAAACAATAAACTTATGTTATAAATATAAAAATAAAGAATCAAGATATAAATACTCCACAAATGCATACCCAAATAAATAAAGATAATAATGTGATGTATGAGAAAATCCATGTTCCTTATTTTCATACAGACTTGGATTCACATTCGATCTGCAGTCTGTTAATTAAAAAAGACGGCCCTAAAATTTCGAATCTTCTTCTTACATCTGACGAATACTGCCAAATAAGTTGTACTACACTTTTCTCATCATACGCAGACCATAACTCTGGCTAAAGTTAGAGGATAGGTCAACAATTGATAAGTATTTTAACCTAATTAATTTATTTACGATTTAACTTAAGCCGTATAATAGGCGCTTATGTTATTTTGTGAGTAAAATTTCCAACCTTGAAGTATCTCAATCAGAGATGAATTAGCTATCATAACCATTATTTCAAGCCACAATAGGTTGTCTCATTGAAGAGGTATAATTTTTTACATTGAGAGGTCGCTTTCCTTGTGTATTCTATCTTGAAATGTTCGTTGTTGATATATTTTCTTTTTATCTAGGTAGTCTATTACCACAATGGGCCTTTATTTGTGCCTAAGTGGGCTTTTTGGGATACAAGGTAGTCTATGAATATTATAACGTGACTATAACATCTAAATGACTAAAATGTGTGTTTTAGTCACTATGGGTTAGTCGACGGCTGACTGAAAAGAAGCAGCTTTAAGTTGGGTTAGAAATAATAGCTTCAGCATTCGTTCATAGTCACTGAACCATATATGTAGATCTGCTGTCTGTACGTTTCTACTCATCAAACCATTATTAAATATTTAACTTCAATGTAGTAGAGTTGCCATCACATTATTTAAATAATTTCTAGGTTTACACTATATATCTTTCAACCAGAAAATGGTGTCGTCACTCAAAGAACTGAATTATTAATGATATCCATCTCAAGTATTGTTGTAGGTTGATATATTATAAAAATCATATCTATTATGTACACTATAAATGGTGCTGACTGGTGGTTAAACACGGGATCTAAGGAGTTATATGAGTTATATAAATATATTTTTTTCTGATCACAGAATAATGATTTCCAAAATGATTAATATTACGTCGTCTACATAAATATCTGTAGGCAGTGAAATAATCAATATTACTGTTTAAATAATATCTTAAATATATTAAATTCGATAGAGTTAACAATATGATTATACATAAATCAGAAAGAAAATTGAAATCATAATAAATATATTGTTATATATCATAATTATTTCATTCAGAAATATTTCATATCACAACTTAACAACTTAAACTTTAATCGTAGTAATATTCCTCATCGACTCTTTCGTCGTTTACTGGTCTGGGTTTTGCCGGTACAGGTAAATTAATTATAGTGGGCACAGGTGTTGGCTTCTCAGCTTCAGCCAAAGGTTGTTTCAGTTTTTCCATGAGGCTTGATACATCGAAACTGATTTTAGGTGGTGAAATACCTTCTGCTGCTTGCAATCCCACCATTTGTGAGGAGAGGGCATCGACATCCTGTCGGGCAGCAAATAATAGCTGATCATGTGCTGCCAGTTGTAGTTGGGCTGTTTGAGCACGAATTGCACAAGCAGCTACTTCTTGCTGAGCATTCTGCAGCATCGCGGTAACAGTTCGTACTCTATTTGCTGCCTCTTCCAAATCCTGTTGCGCAGAGTTCGCAATTGCCTGTGACTTTTTTATTTCCGTGGCTTCCAATTGTACACGTGCTTGCGCTACGTATAATTGTTGTATTAACGTATGCAGTTCTTTTGTCTTCAAATCGTGTTCAGCATTTCCAGCTGCATCAGCTTTTGACATGCTACTTGTAGTTGTAGCTTCTGCTCCTTGAACTGCAGTTATCGCTGCTTGAGATCCTCCAGCAGTGCTAGTTGCTTGAGATCCGGAACTACTCTCTTCAAGCGGATGGCCTGTTTTTGCTGGCGGATTTTCACTTTCAGGAACTAAAGATATCAATATATATTAATTAAAAGCTAACTTTTATTTTTTAAGTACCACTTACTGCATTCCGTTGTTGATGTTTGGGATGCAGGTGTCTCTGGTACTAAAATTATAATATACTTTAGGATAATAATTACGTGAATTGTATCACAAATCAGGAAAATCTCAAGTATCTGAATATTTATATACAAATAGGCTGAACTAATGAAGTATATACTTACTACATTCTGTTGTTGTAGTCGTCGTAGTCGTCTGTTCTGCTGGGGCCGGTTTTTCCGTCTTTTCTGTATCAGGAACTGTAAAAACATAATATGTGAAAAACTTTTTTCTTTATTAAAATTGAAGTGAAACATATATAAAGCTTAGGTATAATTTAATGTTTTATCAGTTAGTGTACTATAAATTGGAAAAGTATACAGGATAGCTAACATGATTTTTGATCTTTTTGCATCTTAATATTATTTTTCACATACCACATTCTGTAGTTGTTGCTCCTGACTTTTCCGTCTCTGGAGCTACAAATAAATATTAGCTTTAGATAATACGGTCTCTTCAGTAAAGTAGTTTCATACTTACCAGACGTTTGCGAACCTGGTTTTTCTGTGTCCGGTACTGTAAACGAATATGATTTGCAAACTTAATTCAATTTAACCAAAATAAATTATCACTTACCACACTCTGTTGTGCTCGAATCCTCAGGTTTTTCCGGTTCTAATAGTTAAGAAATATATTGTCAATGTTTATCATTCTTATTTTTATTAAATTAATATTAATTTACCACATTCAGTTGTGGCGTCATTTGCTGATGACTCCGAATCTGGTATAAGAGCTGCTCGTGGTATTGCACCAAATTCATAATTTTTTTTAGGTTTTTGATTGAGTTCTTCATTAAGTTCTGTTAAGTCATTAAAATCGGGATCCATATATATATAATCTGAATCGGCTAAATATTGTGGAAGATTTATATCAATTGGGCTTGAGATTAGAACTTTAGGAATCATCATCAGCACAGCCACTATTTAAAAACATTTACAATATGGTTTTTAATACTAAATGGAGTTTACTTACTTAGCCAAACGATTCGCATTTAGTGAACATTAAGAATAAATTTATATGAACGATTTTATTGAAATTCATACACAGAAAATCTTCACCATCGTACATTTCCCCAAAAGGATAATTATAATAATTTTGGAAACTTATTTAAAACAATTACCAAAGAACAAAATTTTTTTTTAATTTTATTTATTTTAGTTGATAGATATTTCAGTGAATAATTTTTTAATAATATTTTCCAAGAACATCAATTCAAAAGTTAAATAAAAAAAATATGTTCAAAGAATTAAATAAACAATTATATTTTTTATAAGCAAAACTAAATATTCAATATATATATTGTATAAAAAAAATACAAATTAACATAATTTCTATAATTTGTATTATAGTATTTATTATCAATATCTGAGCAGAAGGTGTAAGTACTTGTAAAAAAGTCCGACTCTTCACCGAAAAGAGAAGAGTGCTTGAGTACTTTGATCAAAAGACATAAGAATACTATGTGGGGCTACCAAAAGTTATAATATTATTATAAGTAATTGCAAAAACTTCAAATTTTTCGTCTTAGAATCAGAGAAGGATAGATACTGCTATAGAGACATAGAGATATTCAAGTGTCTAATTGTTAAATGTTCGGTTTTATCTTGGGTCTGATAATTGGTAAGCAAAAACTAATGAAATATAGAAGAGTTCCATTCACAAAAATTTTCAAGTTTTTTGAGAAACTAAAATCCAATGAATTTACTAGCGGCGATAGATTCATTTTTGATCCCAGTGCTTAAAGAATTTTTCAATACGTTAGCTTTTACGAATAAATCAAAAATAATGTAATTGCACAAGTTTGCAGGACGTTTTTCAATTTTTAGAATAGCACTGAAATAAGTTAAGTAGGCGTAATACCTGTTTACTGCAGATCGATACAGTGAGCAATGTAATAGTTTTTCTGGTTGGAACACAAGAACACAAGTATATAAATTTACTGATTCCATGTATGGAAGAAACTATGAAGCCTTCCATTACTAAATACATAAAGCAATCTTTGTACACTTGCCAGTATCACTGAATAACAACATTTATTGTTTATTATATATATCATATATACATTTTTATGATGATGCGGCAGAAAACATAAAGGAACTCCTGTTTTTATCAAAGTAACTATTTATTTCACTATGTTAACTAAGATATATGAAAGTTGAGTATTAACTTTAGAAGTTCTTTCAACAGCTTCAATCAAATAATTACCTTGGTAAAGTGGAATCCATTATAAGTCATTGATATAAGCTCTATGAATATTTCTTTTCGTCGCATCCTTAAGCATTAGCTGTAATTGACGATATTCTAATACGTGTAGCTTAATTAGTAACTACTTAAACAATGCTTATAGCGATAGAAGTACAAGAACTGCAAAAGCCCATAACGTTACGAAAGTAAATAAGAATTTATTTGAATATATTCATGCTAACAATATCATTGGGCTTATTCCGAAGGAAGAAATTGGATTTCTCACTGTCGTTTTCTATGCAAACAATGTCATACATTTGATTTCTGTCATCAAATGTCACATAAATATAACTAAAATGAAGTGGAATAGGAATTGGATTAATCTTAAGAAATTTTGAGTTCAAGCTTTTTTTAAAGAACACTTGCAAAGAACACTTCTGATTGTCTTTTGAGTATACTCAACTTATTTGTTTGGTTTTTTTGAGATTGAGTTCCAATAATTTTCAAGCATTAGCTTAGATAATGATTGTCAGTTGTGCAAGGTATATTTTACTAATACCACATTGCTTACAAATTAATCAAAAACTTTAAAAGAATTGTAATGAAAACAGTTATATAGATTGAAAGAAGTTACTTCTAATCACTATTGCGTTTATTATTAAAAAAGTACACTTAACTCATTTTAAAAAAATTAAAAGAAACACTATTTATAAAGTTGTCACAAGTATATACACACGGTGACAACACTGTGACAATAACATATACGCAAAAAAAAGAGGTGCCGAAAAATCTAAGACCTTCTTTGCCTACGAAACGGCGTTGTCAGACAATATTGGAATTACAGAGAGTAAACGATTTAGTTACTTAGATAAACAGAATTTTGTCTACTCGATCAACGTATAAGTACTTTAATATATAGTTTAGTGTAAAAAAGCGCAGATATTCAAGAAAATAAATATTCTGCTCTACAAACATTTACAAAACTAGTTCGTTTCTTAGAACTTGGTATGTAAACGCTGTCTGTAAAGTGCATTTTCATACCAAAAATCAATAAAAAAATAAGCTTTCAGAAAGATACTTAGCCCAATAGATGAAACTGAAGGAATTAGAAACCAAATATATTTTAAATTTCTTTACGCTTTTCGACCATAAACTTTTCTTCATATGTTTTATAAATGAAAATATTTGTAGTAATATTATCTGTAATATTTAATAGTTTAGATAATATTTTATCCAAACTTATTCTCAACATTCAGTGTACGAAAGAGGAATATTGAATATAAATGATATTAAATATATATATAAATGAGTATATACTACACTTAGTCATCTTTCTTAAAATTTTTCAATTTAAGGGAATTGTAGGTATCAAATTTTGTAAACAAAAAACAATCTTTATGTATAAGTTAATAAAATACTAACAATAAGATTTTCTTAAATTAATATTATATTTTTAATTTGGGGTCAAAATAATAAAAAATTAAACTTTGTCTTGCATGTTGTTTTATAATATGTATGTGTATATGCCCGTTTTATGTAAATATGTCTTGAAACATTGCACTTTCTTGTGAAATAACTTTGCTTTATACATTAATTGCCTTTTATGAAAATATTTTTTATTTCTTACAAACTTAATATGTGTACTATATATACTTTAACTACTTTTGTGTAACAGAAATATTACTTTAAACTGCATTCTTAATTTAATTGCTCTTCTCTTAACATAAACGTTAACTTTAAAAAACTATAAAAACTTTTATAGGAAGTAGCAGAACTGCGACGGCAGGTGGCTCTAGAGAATTTACAAAATCAGAGAATGGATAATTTGGAACAGGATGTACCGGTGGAATTTGAATGCTGCTTCTGCACAACGAAGGTACTTTATACTAACTTTTCCTGATACTAAAACTCAGTTTTTGTGCTTGTTTTTCAATTGTACATAAAATAATAATTGTATAACATATCTGTTCTTTCCGGCTTTAATGTTGTTATCCTATTGCACATAACTGCTGTTTTTATTATTAAAGTATATAATAATATTATTATTCATTTAAAATTTGCATGTATTTGAATTTTTAATGTTTACAGAATTATTAATTAATAATAATGCAAAAAATAAATTAATTTTGTGCTTTAAATATAATAGTTTAAAATTCTAAAATGATTCCGATTTTGGGGGCACATCTATTTGACATCTCATTTAGTCATGACAGTAATATTTTAAACAACTTATTCCACTTTGCTTCATAACAAAGGTTATGAAAACAAATAGGTTTTAAGATATTCGGCTTTAGGGTTGAAAATTTTTACAATTGTACTCAATGTTTGTCTTGTCGGTTGTATTTAACTCTCTTAAAGAGTTGGTTTCTTGAATAGTCTATTAGTAGCAATAGATGTAGTTTTTATTTTTTGACTAAAGTAAATTGCTAGTAAACAATTTTTTATATTATATTTTATCCAAACATCTATCCAAATATCATATATCAACCATATCAATGTCCAAATATATGTTCGTTGGCGCTAGATGGCGTATTTAGTTTTTTTAGTTAGCAAAATTATTGCAAATAGGTTAAAACTATAAGATTGGAGATTTCAAAATGTATACTGTAAATACATATGATGTAGCGGAAAAAGATGTCACAAATGGTTGATGCCACTAAAATAATTAGTAACTAATTATTCATATTTTTTAACCAATTTAATAATATACTGAAACAAATTATTTTGAACTTATTTTCGATTTTATATAGAAATGTTAACGAAAAGGCTGTTTTTTTATTATTACATATTGTCACACTATTTCTTATTTTATTTTATTTCGTATTATAATTCATACAAAGTGATACAATTTAAAAATTAATAACAAATTCGTAGAATTACAGAAAAAGATTATTTAAAGACTCTGCGCTCTAAATTTACGACAGGAAAATTAATATTAATTCCAGTCCATATTCTAACTTATGTCTATTACACTAGAGGAACTCTATAACAATGTCTATTTCAAATTATTTAAGTTTGAATTTAATTATAATTTTGGCTTGTGTCTTCGACTACCAGAATATCTTTTAACAGGTTTTATTGATATCCTAAATGGACTAAATTTAAGCTAGTTTAAAGAGATTTCAACTTTACAGTTTTTATATAATTGGACGTTTTAGTCTATCAGGATATATTTCACATGTTTTTTATTTTCGTGGATAGAGTTCATGTTATAGACTAAACTATAGATTTTGTTTACTTGTCATTTTTCTTAGTTTTGATAATATACATCATTAAACCTTTTTTTTTTAGATTAAAAATTGCCATACAATTAACTTTGTTAAGGTTGATAGTTGGTATCATAAGTGATTAGTTGTAAGTCATATGTCTTTTTAGGCTTTCCAAAGGTCTCTAAGTCTGCTTAAAGATTCTTACTCGCAGATTGTTTTGGGGTTATAAAGACCTTTTGGTAAAATACTCTACCCTTTAATATTTCTGCACCTATCAGCATTCATTTTTTTATTATTTGTGAAACTTGAATATCATATTATATTGAAGCTTTTTTTTCATTAATTTTTTCATCGAGTTTTAATATTATTAGACATTTTATGATAGGTAGTCTAACTTTGATTTGGTTCTTCACAAATAATTTGGAATTATGTTAAATGTAAGTATGTGCATATTTTCCACAATCTGTTGCTTTGAGCCCAGCAGTGTTTTTACAAGCGATATTTTTAACATGGAGTTAAAATTTATAGTATATAAAAAAATCTTACAAGGATAAAGCTCTGACTACTTACAAAAAAATGGCCAACACACGTACTTCTACAACTAATTCTCTAGGTTAACTTTAACTATAGAAGTGAAAATAGGGTACATGGCCGTACAGAGGCCGTTTACATTAGTGGTTTCCAGTAAATTTGGTTTCATTAGAAATTACCTAGAAATGGTTCATGTGTCTATTCAATTACTTGCTGTTCACGTTTGTGTCAGTACGTTCAAAGCAATATAAATAAACTGAAAAATAAATGATGGTTAACCATTAAGATATGGAAAATGTTATAAACTTTTCACAATTCTCTTATTTTAAAATCAATGAGTAGTTTTTTCATTGTACATTTTCTACTTTATACTAGTACACATTTCTTTAAAGATGAAAACTTTAGACTTTCCACTAGCAAATCTGTAACTGCTCACAAACAATGTTAACCTTAACATATTTCTGTTCTTAACATGTTAACATTAATTTGAGGTTAACATGTCTGAACTCAATAAGTTGTTGACATATTGTTATTAAGTGGTTTGGTATCATTTACTGAAGAAATTGATATTCAATGGCAATGATTAGGAAACACATTTGAACTCATGTAATTCAATTGAACTTTGCAAGCTGATAAGTAGAATGTTTATTAAGTTAGTTTAATGTGGTTTTTTCAAATCATATTTTTAAATATACAAGTAATATTATTAATCTTATTTAAGATTAAATAGCGTTTATTCTTTTTATATTAATTAAAGAATAATTGCGGTATTAAAATATTAAATATTGATTGATGAAAATTGTCGGAATTATTGAAAAATTAATATAAAACCGTATAATTGAGAGAAAATATTTTTCAGAGGAATATAGTTATAGTTTTTTGAAAATTAAATAATTTAAAATTATTCGTAACACTTCATTTTCTCAGTATTACTCGCTTCTATATACTAGATAAAATCATGATTATATTTTCTTTAGAACACCAATTGGCATTAAATTAAATTACTTTCACGTTTTAGAAGTACTTTTATTCCCTGCTGTAGTGTATATCCCTCTTTTATCCTTCGCCAGAAACAGACTGTAAGCATATAAATAACAAAATCTAAGCAAATAAAAATTACAGGATCGTATGTGTGAATTTCACGGGAAGGAGTATAGCATAAAGAGGTTAGCTCGTCCACCACCGTCACCTAAAAATTTTTTAATGTTGAAAAATATGGTTGAAAGAGGGGAAGTTAACTTATATTATATATAAGTGAAGGTATTTATTATTAAACTATCGATAAATTTGGTAGAACTTGCAATGTAGTGATTTAGTATACATTTTTTTATATTATTTATAATATTAATTGTAAAGTAAAGTAATGAACAAAGTGTTATTATAAATAGAAACAAATGCAGTTTATTACTTTTCAATAAATTTTAAAGACTTTTAAAAAATTATTGGCAATTACTACAATCGAACCGCTATAATTGATTCATTCTGGGCTCTAAATATACTATAAGCCTCGATCTGTATTTAAAACTATATTGCAATTCGTATGTATTTTTACAAAATTTGTTATGTACAAATATATATATATAGTAAATATGTAATTGTCTTTTCATTTATATCTTTCTTTTGCTTAAAACACTAAAATTTCTCAACTACTCTACGTACAATTAATTTGTAAGTTACAATCTACGTGTATTACTTTTGTAAATTTTGTTTATATATTTTTTAAATTTTATTTTATTTATTTACTTTTTCTTTTTTAATTTCTTAAAGGGATTTCAAGGATGTCAAGGCGAATGTATTCCATTGCGAGCAAATAGCGTTTAACCACACAGAAATCAAACAAAATATTAATTGAATATTTTCTTAACTATAAAAAGATATAAGCGAAATTTAGTTAGCTTTATATAAACATGTTTAATTTTAATTAAAAATTATTTCTTCTTATATCATATAATTTGCATGGTATTTATATAGGTATAAAGTTAAAAGACATAAAAAATTCATAGAATTTTATAAAACATTTTGTATGTGTTTAAAAAACCTTTAAATTTAAGAGAATTTTAGTTTAAAATTAGCAAATACAAGGTTGCAACTTAGTGTACACAGTTTTTTACTTAAAAAATTACATAAAATATTAAATAAAAATTATACAATTAAAAATCAGAAATTCATATATTTATATATTTATACACGTTATGTTTAATGATCGTATATTAATGATATACATTAGTCACTTTATTAAAATTATAACAAAAACTTAATTAAATGCAAAAATAATGATGCACACAAATACAGAATGAGTTTTTTTAATTAACGTAATTATTTCATTTAATGGAAATGTTTCTATGGCTCCTGTACTTAGTAATAGTTTGGGTAGAAATTTAATTATAAAAATTTATAATTTATTATTATTTTTTTCAAATATTATTTTTTCATTTAAAGTAGTTAGTCTTTAAATTTATTTAGTTTAGCAAATTGTATAAAACTCATACGAGTACTTTGGGCAATTTGTTAAAGGATACAGCTGAATTTTTTATAAGAAAGGTGAGTTTATATTTTAAATACACTATTTTTCTATTAAAATTGATTTCACTTACCAAATCTGCAAAATTTTTCTATTTTAAGTGTGATTCGCATGCTTTTTTCAAATTTTTGATCATTTTTATATATATAAACTATTTTAATGGATAATAATGAGTAATAATACTATATTGTTGAGGAAGATATTTTCAAGATTTATTTAAAAAAGTTCGTAAATAATTAAATTCACTAAATAATTTTAAATTATATGTTTAATTTAAAATTAAAGAAAATTTGACTCTCCTTTTAACACTAATTTTTATCGGTTATACATGAAAAAAATGCATTTTTAATGTTAAGACTAAACTTAATTTGATTTTAATTTAATAATTTCCCAAAATAGATTATGAAGGAGGTAATAATTTCTATAGTGACATTGTAAAGCAAAATAAACAGATATTGAACTAAGAACTCAAATTGAAAAATACTTTTTTTTTTCTATTTCAATTTATACATATAATAGTACATGACTCCTATATATTATAGCAAAATGCAAGATAACTTTTTGTATTCACCAAAAATAAAAAGTAAGGAAAATTACTACCATATTAGATACAGACTTATTTCTTCAATGGAAATTTTTTAGAACATCAACTTATAAGAGCAATAACACATCGGCTAAAAAATACTGGAATTAAATTATGAAAATATAAATTAAGGCAAATTATTATAGCTGTTCTCCAAAATAGCAACACTCTTCTTGTTAGACTTATATTTGTCCTTAAAATAGTCGTTTGGTTTGGCAATGACTTCGTTATTGAAGAAATATCATTTTCCCTGGAATATTTTTTTAACGTATGCGAACAGATAATAGTCGTTGGTGCCAATCGAAGTGTAGGTTGTAGTACAATATCGCGATTGAAACCAACAACCTATGGACAGTCATAAATTAATTTACATGTAAAATAAGTCTCATATATTCCATTGATATATTTAATGAACTAGAACTTTACTTCCCAATTTTTCAAAACAATTTTGTTAATTTTTCTGATGTGATGCAGTGTAACTTTCTCATTTGGACGACAGAGTAATGAGTCATTAGTATATATATGGCCACGTTTAAAATCTGGTAAATAACGTACAATGGCAGCTTTCGATAGAGCACAGCTCATACAATACTTATAAACCCAAGAGTTAGTTTAAACAATGTTTGTCACTTTAAAACCCATGATAGGTTCACATTGCTTGGTTGTTTTAAATCCATTGCTTTGATGGTAGAAATAGTTAAATATAAACGATAAACTACATAATCGTGGAACTACAGTTTCACTTCATGCATTGATTAGAAAATATAAGAAGGCGGGTCAATAGTCAGGTGATAATCGGCACTCGTTGATGTGGACGATCTAGAGTCTGCTGTACAACATAAAATTAGAAACATGCTTGATTTTATTGTTATGCAAAACAAGATCTTGCAGAAGATTTTATACATATAAAAGTCGATTAATTATATTTGAGCAAAACTGTTCATAGACTAGATATGGCATTCATACAAAAACAAGGATGGCATACAGTTGTTAGTATTTAATGCTAAACAACAAGAATATTTTGCAATAATAAAAAGATTTTAAATTAAAATAGAGCTGTTTTGTAGTATGAAAGTTTTATATATATTATCTCTCATAAGTTTACTCAACTTCTATTAAAAATACCATACAATAGTCATATATCAATGATAAAGCTAATGACATATATAAATATCAAATCCTTTAATCGCTGCCTTGATATCCACATAGATTCCGACCATTGTAGTCGAATTCCATTTCACAATTTTCACTTCGATAATACTGCAAGTGTATACATAATTTACGAGCAACAGGAAATTGAGCTTTTACTTCTTCAGATATATACAATATTATAATTCAGATTCTCTTATCGCAAAAAATACTGGTATTTAAATGTATTATTTTACAATTAACAAGCACAATTCTGACTTGCATATCGGCGAAGTTCTGATGTTCTTTAGTACCCTAAACACATATCATTATTTCTTTTTAATATTAGCTTACGGATAGCTTGTTACATGATAAAATATAACGAACTCTCTAATATTAATATTATATAGTTCTGCCAATATTGACGTTAAGCCTGTCAATTTTAAAATACATTGTAAATTGAAAAAAAATTTTTTTGTAGTATAAGATTAAAATATATAAAACATAACTTCAACTAAATGAAATTTATTATAAATAGAAATGTTCATATTTATTAAGAAATAATAGAATTAATTGACAAACGTATATAAAGCAATTTTCAATTTATATGTATTAACTTGAATTATTCTTCATTCTTTAAGAGACATATTTTTTATAAACTACATCGAGAGTACACAAAAGACTAAGTAAATAAAAAACAAGGAAGTATAGAAATTTTTATTATTATTTTTTAACGATTTTTACCATTTCAGAGAACAAAATTAATAAAACATTTTTTTCTTATTTTATTTTCCAGGAATTCAAGGAATTCACAGATGCGGAGGGCGTCATTTCTCTTCCAACTTCTGACTTCCATAAACCCATTTGCTTAGAAATGCGCATGGCCGCAAATCAAGCTAATCGACAGTTATATGCTGATCAGTATGGCTTGATATCACCACCCACCCATTTATACAATCAACAGCAACAACAATTAACCGGTGCTATTGCTGTAACAGCAGGTGAAGCGCATGCAGATGTTATATTTTCAATAGGACATGCTGCAGGACGTACGTCGGCTCCCTTCACTGCCACTGGTATTGTACCCACTTCACAATCAACATCCTCAACATCTTCATCATATGGTACTACAACATCGACCACAATAGCGCTGCCACTCGACACACCGTTCCGTTATCCACCTTTTATCTCCAGCAGTACCAATAATAATTTTAACCATAACTTCAACAATAACTTCAACACAACATCTGTTGGTGCTTGCAATGCATTGGCCATGAGTACCGGCAATGGAATTCTGGGGCTTGGTAATAATTTCAACAACAATTTCAGCAGCAGTAATAATAACAATGCCGATTTAGCCAGCGTTGATAGCTCGGATACATATGCAAGTTGCCAAACACATCCATTTTTATCACAAGGTGATCTCACTGCGGATTTAGGAGATGAAGCATGTGCTTTGGATATAGACATGGAAAATTTGTATATAAATCCGCTTGAGAAGGAGTCAACAATAGGCACGACCGGATTTGTAGTTGGCTTGCCACCGACTAGTGCAACAAGTATGTCACGTTCACATGTAAAGAAAAGTGCTTCGGGTGATACAGCACTAAGAAATTTGGCCACTGGAGCTTTAAGTCCTATGGATGATGTTTACCAAAATTTTGAGGTACAGGAGCGAGGTAGTCGTGTTAGTCTTAATGAGAACCCAGTGCCAAAGCATCGCAAAACGCGTTTTCAGCAAAGTTTTTCATCAATGCATTCCAGTATTATAGCTGCGGGGACTGTAGTAAAGCCCCGAGCACGTTTTGAAGACTCAAAGGTCTCACAGGAGAATGTGGGCCAAGAATCAAGTCCTGCGAGTAGCGGGAGTAAAAAGAAGCGTTCATCTTTTATGCCGGGCAAAAGTTTAGCCACTGCCACTAAGTTGATAAATCAGCATTTGTTCGGTATACAGAATATTGGATCTAAAGGTATATGAGTTGTGTACACGTATGTGCAGTACTTTTATAACAATTTAATTTTTTTTTAGCCAAATTTGAAAGTAAACATTCCTCATCGATAGATTCAATTGACGCATCACCAAATCTTGAACACCATAGACGCTCAAAATCAATATTAAAAAATAAATCAGATATGTCGAGAATATTGACGGATCCAGAAAGCGAACGTCTGCTTGCAGATAACATGTCTGGTTCTGGTGTATCTGACAATGGCACAGTAATGGTTAGCGAATTAAGATATTGCAACAAAAATATATATTTTATTTATTGTAGAATTACTTGCAGGGCGAATCTGGCAGCGATTACTCACCGAATAAGTTACCTCATTCACTTTTAGCTAAGTCTATATCCCCACCACCACTTAGGCATCGTACCTTAATACAACAACGCTCAGGTCCAGCCACATTACAATCAAAACCTACAAAATTTCAAACTCCGCGATATCCAGAAGAACAAGCTTTGCGTCAGGTGAAGCCGGTGTTAGCAAGAACTGCTGCGGCGTCGCACATGTCCAGCGATAGCCGTTATGATTCAACGAACAGAGATAGTAGCTTAGGTGAGTACCCTTTATAGATGTTATATAACAATAACGAAAATGTCGGTTTTGCTAATCTTTTTCTACCAATCAACAGTTGTTTTCGATGCTGCTTTTTAATGTATTAAATCTAATAAATGTCATGTTAACTTATAAGGATTTTCGGCATGCAATCATTTTTTCGGATACAGTTTGGGTATCATATTTACAATTTAAATTTTAAGTGGTTTCAAATTTATCACATTTTCACAGTTGAAAAGAAAAATTTTATTCACTTTGCACAAAGCGCTGAGATATAGCTTTTAGGCCTTTTATGTAATTGGAAGTAGATAATTTGATTTAGTTGTTCTTTTTCACTAACTTATTTTTTATGAAATAATGTTGATATAAAAATATTACTTACACATCAATTCACAATATCTTTCTCAACTTTAACCTATGTTATCAATTAGAACTAATTCCAAATTACACATATACGAGTATGTAATGTGTAGCATTTAGCTCTTGAATATTATATGCCAATAAGTACAATAGGGAAGTCGACATTGACTTTAAAGCATTTATTTAATTTAGAACTGTTAGTAAAAGTTATTCCAGGATCTGAAAAATATTTAAAAATGTTTTTTGTTTTTAATTACGAATATATTCAATTTATTAATTCTTGAATAATGAATCGACTATGAAAACAAATAAATTGTTGTAATTTTCATTAACAAAGAAGAACATAGACATATTACCGAGCGAAACCTACTTATTTGGTTCCTAGTACTACTAATTTTGGTTCCTGTACATAAAAACGTTGAAGAAAATGAAAAGCAGATGCTTTGCTCTACTTTGGTGCTTTCCTGGGTGCATAGGTATATGCGGTTTTATTTTCCCTGCTTTCACTTAAAAAAGTACTTACCTTTATTTTCTTCAACTAGTTAGTAACAAAGGGAAATTACTAACATAATGTGTATGTTTTCGAACAATAAGTTACGATGAACTTGATATCAAAAACTAGATCATGGGAACTAATTTACATAAACCATTTGAATTATAGTGTTCACTAAACCTACAGCCCTTTTTAATATATACTAATGTATAGGAAACCAACTAGATAAACTAAGTATTCTCTTTAAGACTTATTGTGGAATTTGTGAAAGGTATCAATAGGAAGAATTTCGGAACTGATTCTGTAATTGTTCTGATTTAGTTGGATACGATATGTTTTATTTTCTTTTCAATATAATCTTTTCAGGTTTGTAGTTCCAATAAGTGACATGGATTGTAATAGAATTTAATTATAATAGATTGCAGTTGGACTTCTCTGTTTTTTTTTGAAGTTATTCCGAATACCTTTTATACTAAATATCAATATATGTATATTAAGTATTGGTGTATACTAAATTACGTGCACTATAGTGATTATTTTTTTTTTTACTAACTGTATTGAGAATTATCACAATCAAATCAAAGTTTTATTATATATTATAATTTTGTTTTATATAGTATGTACATTGTACAAATTATATTTAAGTATACATATGTTATATTTACATTAATATATTATATTACTAATCAAAATCTTATCAACCAACTCAGATGTATGTGTATTAAGTACTATTGGGTATATATCACATTTGAAGTTAAATACCTGCATTTCATACTTCATCAAGTATGACGATAATTTGGTATTGAATATTTCTTGTTATTTGCAACAAAAACATATAGGTCCATAAGATAACACACATTTAGCAAAGGCTAAGTATAAATGCAAAAATTCTTCTGGTATTTGATTAGAGAGATAAGGTTGTATAGTATTGCTTAATGAATTTTATCTTATATATATGCTATTTTAAGTCACTACATTTTTATAAAATTAGCTGCAGACTTATAATGGTAGAGATTGCCGAACCTTAAATTATACATTGGAAGATTATGCATTGTTTTTGTTATTCACTAAATTAATTAAAACAAAAGGTAGGGTATATATCTAGTGGATAAAAATATGCTGATTTAAGGTCCGTCATCAACTAAAAGACAAATAAATGATATGATTTCTTAGCCTAGTTAAAGCCAAGTGTGGGGTAGAGATAAGCCCCCCAGCCATTATAGAGTAAAAGTGCGTAATAGCACTAACTCAAGAAGAAGAATCAAAAATCAAGAAGAAAAAATATTTTGTGTTGACGCTTATTTCCAGTTCACTAAGTAATTTATAATAATATTAGGCAGTTGTTTAAAGTATATACAATACCAAATGCATATAAAAATCGAAAAGTAGAATGTAGTACTTCTACTGGAGTGATAATCAAAACTAAAAGTAACTCCTCCGTCATTTCTTTTTCTATAATTGATAAATTTTTTCATTGGTTTTAAGAGTTCGTTGCCAGAACTGCCTAAATTTTATTTTGTGTATATATCTGTATTGTCTAGAAAAACTAAAACTTCAAGTAGTAATTCTTGTCAATACACTTTAAAATATTTATTAAAGCTATACTATATTGCTTACAATTATGATGTTCTTAATTTATTGTAATATAATTGTTGGTTTACTATTTGTATAAGTATTTTAGCAAAGTAAAATAAGAGTATTTCATCGCATATATATTTATGTGCTTATCCAAAAACTTCATAATTTCAGATTCAGAAACGACATTTACATCAAATGTAAATATACGTGATGAAGCTGGCGATAATGGCACAGATGCTAATGGACAAGTTGGTGAGGGTTCAAGTGATGAAAATCGTTCCCTACTTCAACGTAGTAACTCCTTTGAAAGAAGTGAAGCGGATGGAAATGGGCCAACGTAGCAATTACTTAAAAAATCAAAGCAAGAATAAAACTCCCAGTGATAGCAAAGACAAGGCAAAGCAACTTTATGAAATGTGAATCGAAAAGCAATGAACAGTATCCTAGACTTAATAGTTTTTATTTAACACATAGAGTTTTAAGCAAATTGTACACTAAGAAAAGGAAATTCAATTTTTAGTTCATTTATTGAAAGCTTCGTATAGAGAAAGCCATTTTTATGCTACTAAAAAAGAAAAAAAAAAACAAAAGAAAATATAATAACATTTTTAATAGCCTAGCCTTTTGCAATAATTAAAATTAAAAATAATAGCAACGCCTTAAAAATTCTAATAAAGAAAAAAAATCATATATATACACTTTATATACAATAAAATATATATATAATATTTACCTGTTTACTTAAAGATACATATTTACGCTAGCATGTATTGCCATACATTCAAACCTGCAGATGCTTATATATATATCTATATATATATCATATATTTACCCTTATATCACACGTATTATATTTCATAATTAACAAAAGTGAATCTAATTAAGTGAAACCAAAACGAATCCTCAGCACAGCCAAACATTTAATATTAATAGTTTTCATTGATATTTAGTAAAAAATCGAAAAAAAATCTGTTAATGTAAACATAAAAAAAATTATCTCAAATTTTGTATTAAAAAAAAAAAAAATCACATGCCTGAATTTCTGATTTGATTGCGGCTTGTTTTATTAGACTTTACCTAAGGTCTGTGTTTTTTCGTGTGTTTCTATTGGTGTATTAGATTATCTGTAGATTTCCCGAGAAGAGTTATATGCACAAAAAATAAACAAAATAATATTTTAAGATAAATCAGATCGCTTACAGGTTGTTTCACACTATAATATTTAATTTTTGATAATGTATAATATTAGAAGAATTTATATATTATATTTCGGTAGTGAGCTCACATATATGTTATTCGCTTCATGTGCTAGTTTTTTAAGTGTTTGTATGTGTGTTTGAAATGTTAGTGAAATTAAAAAAAAACATAATTTTAATTAATAAAACATATAAGCGAATTAATGAATATACATTATTCGCTGAAAAACCTTTTAAAATAACTACAAAGCAATATAAATGCATATGACACTTTTTAAAGTACAACCTTTTTTTAAATTAATTATTGTTTGCTTATTAACTTAATAAATTTACGACTTCATACATAGTAAAATATTTGTTGCGCTCAATCCCAACAACCTTTATAGACTTCTGAATTAAAAAACATCTTTACATTGCTTTGAACTGGGGAAGCTGCGTGATAGCAAATTTCTTCGGATATTGAAAGCATTTCTATTAAGCACAAACAGTTCCGTATTGCATATGAATTGTCCACAACACAACATCCTTATATCGGCTATGAGATAAGAGATTATAATATCAAATTTAATCATATAATTAATTACTTTGGCTTGATTATTTATATTTGCCCATGTTAAGTGTGTAAAGGCTGAATTAGTTGTACCGTAAGCAAATATTTTATTAAAAACAATGCAACAATTATTCGTGCTATTGATCGAAAAGCCAAAGATATAAAAAATAATAATTTAATAGTTTTCTTGAATTTTGATTTTCTAACTTAACGATGAAAAAATTTATAGTTCAGCTTATACAAGCATTGAACCATTACTTTATATTTCTTTGTATTAGAATTGTTTACAGATCAAATTGAATTTGTAAGTGTGATGTTATTTTGTCTGACGTTGTATGTACTTTGTCGTTAATAAATACTTCTTCTACGTTTTTCTACTATTTATGTTTTTACATTAATTATATCCATATCAACTAATTCAGCCTTAATTCAATCGAATCGAAGAGCTAAAAAAATATAACACATGTATAGCAGGTTTAGAAGTTTGAGCGGTTAACGAACATCAATTCGGCTGTGTGAATAAGGTTTAATATGCCAAGTCAAGTAGGTTGGTATATCGAACGCAGCAATTACAATATCAATATTATTTGTTAATAAAAATAGATATTTTAAGGCAAAGTACCAGTTTTATTTTAGTGTATATTCTTTATTTTTTATTCCTAAATAATTATATAGAAACATAATTAAAGCATTTGCATGCCAGACTTCACTGCGCTTTGCAAGAACACATTATATTTTGAAATGCATATTCTATAGTCAACCATATATTGCAAACTTTTCAATTTAGTTTTGAAATAAAAATATATTAATTAATTTCATATACATATTTTTTTATATTACATATGAATATATAGTTCTTTATAATTTTATTATAAAATCGTTTCTACAAATAAGAATATCTATATGTTACTTATCACACGTAGTTAGTTTGTTTAAGATTAATGGCTTTTATCTGTGATTAATTAGTTACAAAAAAGAAAATTAAATAAAAAGTGTAGTTTGAAGAATGAAAATGTATGTGTTAAGGTATGTAAAAAGTGACAAGAATAATGAAATTTATAAAATAAAAATTAATTGTTTATTGATATTTCATTATATGTATGTGTGAACTGATTTAAGTACATTCAAACCCCAACGTATTTACAAATGAAATTGTGTTAATTATTTAATCTCGAAGATATTTAAATTTAAGATATTTGTTTAAAAATATTTATTTAATAAATTAATTTATATCGGTAGTATAATATTAAAGTGTGTTATAAATGCTTTCATTATTTGCATGTTTCAATTAAAACTAAATCAAAAATATTGGATATAAGTTTATGTATTTATAATTAACCGAATTAGTTGTAAATTAAAAATATATTCATTTTAAAAATATTAAATTTTAAATACAATATTTCAATTTTATTATTAGTTACTGATAATTTGAGAAAAAATTAAATTAATTATATTTAGTATAATAAAAAGGATATGTTTAAAAATTTATTCTTTGAACAAGAGCGCGGTTTATAATATCCTAATGAAATGAGGAATTTGTATTAAGTTTTGACAGCTCACATTCTTACGAGTAATTACATTTAATATTATTTAATATTTTTCAAATAAAATAAAAAAAGAATTTTTATAAATAAATTGACATTGGTGATATTTAAGTTACCTATTTTTTATGGCAACTATTTGTTCCCATAAAATGTTTATGGTAACTATTTTATTTTGAAGCTTTCTGAATGGAAACAAAAAGGTGAATTATTTTATTTTTGTTTTACTTTATTTTATTTTATTTTATTTTTATTTTATTTTACTTTATTTTATTTTATTTTATTTTATTTTATTTTATTTTATTTTATTTTATTTTATTTTATTTTTATTTTTATTATTACTTTTATTTTTATTTCATTTTTATTTTATTTTATTTTATTTTATTTTATTTTATTTTATTTTATTTTATTTTATTTTATTTTATTTTATTTCATTTTATTTTATTTTATTTTATTTTATTTTATTTTATTTTATTTTACTTTATTTTATTTTATGTTTTTAGAAATCGGGTGAACTGGATTTGATATGTAACATTTTTTCCTCATAAAACTCTAATGAATTCCACAAATTGTACTTCATAAAGTCATATTCGTAAAAGTGAGTAATGGTTAACTAGTCAGTTTAATATAATATAATTAATTATTGTTAGTATTAATAAGTTTTTTAAAATACCGTTGCCTCATCTTTTTATGACAATGTGAACAAAATTAAGACAGTCAGCAACACCCATTTGAATGGCTGCGCTAATTAATTACTGACTTTATAGCATCTTCAGAGTACTACCTTAAAGTAAGAGTATCGTAGGAGTACAGTGCGACAATACCAAATTAATTATTGAGAAACATTACACCTGGAATATATACTTTAAGTGGTCTAGTCGTTTTCTACGTGAGCCTGCAGAGGACATTATATGTGGTGGTATACGTAGTAACTAGAAAATATGAATGGACTCACAACTCCAACGACTAAATCCTACAAATTTCAATTTAGTTTACTTACAATAGTGCTTTGTGCTTTGTTGTAATTTAAGACATTGAATATATATATCCCATTATTTTGACCATATTTAACTTATTGAACTGGCTGAACATCTATTTATTGATGAGACACCATTTTTGAATTGATTTTGTGAATGAAAATTCGTCTACAACCCTTATAAGAAAATAACTTTCCACTAAGATATTTAATACTTAATCAAAAATTCAATACGTACTTTCGTTTTACAGTTTTATCTAAATACTCTTGATTTATTAATACATTTAATTCATAAACCCGTGCAGCATCAGTTATAACACGTTTCATGACTATGGAATAAGAATCAGTTTCATGAAAGATGGAAAGATAAAAATAAATTTTTCCTAAATTGAAGAGATTATAATAGAACTAAATTGTCTTCACTTTTTTAATGCTTTGATCGGTTGGTCATGGCGATGACTATTTTTCCTACAATAAAACTACTACACAGTATTGTTATGCTTACTTCTAGCCTTAAAAATCTATATAATTTTACTGACATCAGTATGTTACTATAATTTTTATCGCTTGCTCTTTATAATTATATGTATATATAATATGTAAAAAAAATTATTGCCCGCTTTTTATGATCTGTGATAATATTCCTTTTTATATATAACTCGCACTATATTCTATGAATTACCATTTTGAGTTCAGAGTAATTCAAAGATGTTTAATTTATGTATAGCTTTTTTTGTTTTGTGCGGCGGGGTGGAATGAAATGCCTACACCCTGACCACGATCCCGCGCTCCGAAAAATGAGTGCTCGACTCGCACGGACTAAACCCCTTCCCTTCATTCTTAGAAATCTTGTCCCACCACGGGACTACTTCGTGATTAGATCTCTATTAGTTATTTAAGACTTCTATCGGAGTGATCTGTCTCAAGGCACCGTTGCTACTTCAGGTGACTAGACTTGCACTTGCCCTTAGTATACCACATCCGCTTGTTACTGCTGCCATTTCTTGGGAACTACTTCTTTCAACCTCAGGATCTTTTCAGCAAACATTGTTATGCAATCCCAGTTTGTTTTGTTTTCAATTATTTTTTCTGCCATTGTCGTTAATGGCGACAAAACCAACTTGCGCTGTTAGGACTTCTCTTGCGGCTACCCACTTTTTGGACTCGAAGAATGGATCCTTTCGAGACTCTACTTTGCACATAATAATACTAGTAATAATAATAAAAATAGTAATAATACTTAACGTTTTAATAACGGTGTAGGTCTGGGAAGTTAAATTCCCATCAATTTTAATAACATTTTAATTTTTTATTTTAATAATTTTTTTTTAAGTTTTTCAATTTTTTTGTTATTACTCGTAAGTATATACGTGTACTATACATTACTGCTCAAAAGGTTTTAGTTGCTAAACTGATTAATTATCTATGTGATGATTAATACTTATGGAAACATATTGTATTGGGACGATATTAGTTTTTTAATTATGTCATGTTTGTCTATCTAACATCAGTTATGAATTTATATTTATATTATGCATTAATTGGTAATATAATTTAAAATTTTTTAACTTCATAAAACAATTCAAGAAAATTATAAATGTGAAAATAAAGAAAAAATTATATAGTTATATTTAAAGAGAGTTTTGGAAATCTAATATAAAACCCATTCGCTAATCTAAAAATTCAGAATTTTTCATAAAATATTAAGAAAAACATTTTGCAGTACCTTCAAAATAAAATGAAATTATTTACTAAAACTATATTTACAAAGTCAAAGTAATCGTTACAGATCTTGAAGAGAATATGCACACTATAAATATATTTATGCATATATATTATATTATATTAACATAAAGAGAATGAAAAATATTGAAGACATTCATAAGCTTATTTTCATATTATTAACATTTTACATAAATAGTATTTTAAAAATATTTATATAAAAAATCGTTCAGAGAAACTATAATATAAAAGCATATATTTGTAAAAATAAATCCAATGAAACAAGAAAATAAATTCTAAATATCTGCAAAGTTTTTTTTATGTTTTAAAGAAAAAAATGTAAACTTTAAACTAAAAAGCATTTATTATTCAAAAATTAACAAAAAAAAATAATAAAATACTTTTGCAAAAAATTGTTAATGTTTTAAAAAAAAATTAAATTTTTTACCCAAATTAAAATGCCACAAAGCATTTAAATCTTAAGATCCTTAAGCAAATATATAAATGTAAATAAAGATAAGAAATCTTTATATTTGAATTTAGCCTGTCTCTTAGAAACATATCAGTGATTACTTAAAACACAAATGCAAAATTAATAAAAGAAATAAAAAAAATTTTTGCTAAAATCAAAAAACATACACATCGACACTTTTACTTAATTACATTAAAATTAAACTTAAGCATATGAAATAGAAATTGCCCGCTTTTAAAATAATCGAAAGAAAAGCTTCTACATAATAAAAAATTAATATAAAAGATTTTATTCTTTTATTACTTTATTCCTTTACGTCTTTTATTCTCAATTTCATATTATTTTCTGTTGAAAGACACAAACAATATAAACTGCTAGGCAAGATATATAAATTCATAGCGCACTCAAATTTTAAATAATTATTTAAAATATATTAAAACATTTTTAAAATACAGAAACAAAAACAAAAGCAAAAAAAAATTTAGTTAACAAAAAACACTTAAATATAAAACTAAAAAATTTAAAATAAAAAGAAAAAGAGACTTACATAGACTTTGTTATTAGAGAATAAAAAAATATTTTTAGTCAGAACCCCAAATGTATTATATTACTTATTTGAATATTATATACTTATTATATACAATAACATTATTATATGTATGTATAATTTTGTATATTTGTCCAAAATATGTGAATTACCATTGTTCATCGGTCCATTTTGTTAAACAATCTGCGCACTCACATTAAAATATTTGTAAAAAACAATACACAGAACATACTAACAGTTGAGCATTAAAAAAAATAATTTATTTAATTAGTAAGTTTTTATTTATAATTTATTTCAATTATATTTTATATTAGAATTCATATAAAATATGAAACAAAATCGAGAAAACGTTGAGTATATAAAAAAAAATTAAATTATTTTTACTGTAGTTTGTACAATTGTTCTATTAAGTCACTAAATATAAAATATTGAAATATGAAATTTATTATATTGTAATTAATTAATTTAATATATAATATTGAAAACATCAACAAAAAAAAAATTACCACATAATGTGAAATAAATATTTTAAAAATTATACAAATCATGAGTTTAATTTTTAAAAATGTCGAAGTCGAATTCAATATATTATTTATTATCATTATTAATTAAATTTCATTAGATAAAAAGTTTTTTTAGTAGATTATATGATTATGTATAAGATAAATGAGATTATCTTATTTATCTCAATGAAGATGTGATTTACGCTTCAAAGCGTTACGCAAAGACAACAAATTCGCATTAAATATGATGTGACATTGTAGGTCCATTACAATTTCTAAACCTATAAAATAATATATTCAGACATTTGTACTGTCATTGATATATTTATGGATATACTACATATATTACTGCAGACATTGAACCTCACCCAACATTTGCAAATTACAAGATTGTTTGAATAGCGGTACAGGGTAGCTCGAGAACTGAATTGTTGGAGATAATGGGATTAAATCAACATAATTTACTTTTACAACAAAACAAAACTGCTGTTCTTTACTTTTTTAAAAAATGATTTCAAAATCTGTTATTCAAATTTATTTAATAATTTACAATCGGGCAATAATCTGAACTTTTTATATTAAATATTTTGAAACTTCAACAAATTTTAATGTGAGGATACCATAACGTTTCCAGTCAAAAAGTCTTAAGAATTATTACTGTCGCAGATAACGTTAACGTGAATGATAACGACATTAACAGCAAGGGTACGGTATACAAAAAAAAATATCGAATTGAAATATAGATATAAGAATATTGTCCCAGTCATAGAAAAAAATATGACTTATACGCAATTCTTCTCATCTAAATACTATGTCTGACTGCATTAATTGAAATAAGTTACACAAAAACAGTGTAAATAAAGAATAGGAGCGGAATTTAATCAAGTCCTGCATCGCATTAGGTACATTAGCACAAAAATTTTGACCTCTATAAAAGAGGAAATGAGAAAAAAAAAATTAAAAATATTTTGAGAAACTAGCTTTATCTGATTTAAAGTATAAAAGATATTACGCATTCTAACAGATTTTCAAGATCACACCCAAAGCTACTATGTAACTTATTTTTTTAGTTGTATCGCAGTAGAGATTAGTATATATTTAAAAACGTACTATAATACTACAGTGGTTTATAAATATATAATATAAGTGGTTTATTAAATCAGTTAGAATTGTGCCGTATCCTGACTAGTATAACTGATTCATCATTAATTTAATAATTTTAATGAAAAACTTTGGCAAGACCTGCCTTTAAAAGGTAAAGGAGATTATTATGATAATAATATATATTTCGAAAAATAAAACGCAAAAGAAAAACCTATGTTACTATAAAACGTATAGATCACGATATCAACGATATTCGTAAAGGGTAGTCCACTGGTGCACTATCTGACAATATTGGTGGTAAAGTAATGATTTTGTTTCTGAGTTTCATGTTGTCATCACATTATAGGGTCATCTATTTTCTGATTAGAAATATAAATATTAGTGAAATGTAAATAAAACGCACTTGTAAATGAAATTTTTACCAAATTTTTATTTTAGTATATTATTTGGATCCTGCCATTTGATTTGAAATACAATATTAAATGTTATTCAATCATCCTCTGTAGAACATTGTACAGCGCTGTATACTTTTCAGATAGTTTTCGATTTGTCATGATATATATGAAAATAGCTCTCAAATAACTTGATATATATTCGTTTTCAAAGAGTCGAAAGTTTGAGGACTGCCAGCAGAAAAAACCGAATCTTTTCGAAGTGATAGACAGTAAAGTGTAAGGACTATGATAGCAGATATCAATTATATAAATATTTACAAACCTTCACATAAAGCTCCATGCTTAGACCGTAGAAAAGTTTGGTTCGCAGTACTTTTAGTCCAAAATTAATACATACGATACTCAAATAGCTGAGATAGGATACTCGAATATGTATTTTGTTCATTTTAAATAGAGATATATTTAAAATTTATTAGATAATCTATTAATAATTAAATATGGGATTGTACAAAATTTTTTAAATATCGGTTTAGATTTATATATAGTTACCATGAGAATTATGAGTTCAAACTTTGAGCTTGCAGTCTGACAAAATTATTTACGAATAATTGAGTACAAGATATATTTCCAAAAACCCGCTGATGATGGGTATTTGGCAATACTCGAAACAGCTGTATGGTCAGGCAAAAATTCCACTAATTAATAAATAATAAAGAAAAGGTGTATCGTGATTCATTACTCTATAAAATATTTCACTTATTGTTTTTATTTATCGACAGATTTTCCAGGTCTCATGATTTTTTTGAAAATTTTATTGTGTGTGAAGTTATATATCTTAATCAATGCGAATGCAATTTTTTCTACCTAAAAACTCAAACATATTTTTTTTTAGTCGTAAATTGAATATAATAAACACATATTAGCAAAAATTTTTAATGTAATTGCAGATATAACTAAAACTGAAAAATATTGTCTTTATATCATCAAAATCATTTTATATCCTCATTAAAAAACTTGAACTTCTTAAATAAAAATTTTTTAATAAAACCATGAAATTACATTTTTAATATTGAAAATGAGTTAAATTTCTTTTCATTGTAATTCAAAAAAAATATATACTGTATATGTTTCATTTAGAATTGTTCATAATTTATGATGCACGCACCTATGGGTGTAAATATATTAATTATAGGTTTTCCCACGAAGGGTTAAGTGAATTTCATAATTTTTTAACGATTATGACATTGTGACCGCCTTCACTTGAAATCTATTAATTAATAGTATTTTAGTCGTTTTTAATGAGTCACTAATTGCTGTTCTAAGTTGGCGCACCTTCTTAGATATGTTAACTGAGGAGGAATCAGATTTATTAGAGAAGCAAAATGCTTACAAAATTCGAGAATTATATAGGATTTCCTATGCTATCGGAGTCAATTTGACAAAACCGACTTTTCTTAAGGAAATGTTAAGAATGTTTGTGTGCATATTTTTTAATGTTATTACTTATTAAAAAACTTTTCTTTAAACTAGTGTAAATATTTTGTTGCTGATAAGTAGCACTTTATCCTTATATGGACATTGGTCGATGTTTATAACGTTTATAGATGACATACCAAAAATGGCTGAGGTAAGTTCGTTACACCAAATTATTTAATTAAACTATTTAAACTATTAATTTTTTATTGTTGACTATAAGATCCTTTTCCATAAAACAGAAATCAATTACTAATTTTATAAATGGCCTGATGTGTGATATTATAGTAAACATTTTTGGTTAAATATTCATAAGTTTAAAATATATAATGAAAATCACAGAGTGTCTTTAAAAATGATCTAAAAGTATGTCGCAATTTTCATACTTAATACTGAAATCAAGTGATTGATTAGAAGAGACGACGACTACATTAAGTGGTATATGGATTTCGAATTCTGGCAAATCCTTCAAGCCAATATCAATAATTTTTTGATGGAATTTTCATACGATTAAATTATTTAATATAGAGTTTTATTACTTTAAAAGTATAAAAACTATTGTGAAGATGTCTTTTTAATAGCAACTGTTGGTTATATATTCAAGGACTATAAATACAGTTGCTTATTAAAACTAAATTACGAAATTCATGAGTCATGAAAATTTATACATAATGTAAATTTGATTCATATCTTTTGCGATAAAATAAAATATAAAAATTAAAAAAAATATGTCTCGACAAATAAAAAGGACTGCAGTGACTTCAAAACCTAATTCCTTTTGTTATGAGAATATATGTATAAGTCTAGTATATTATAACAGATCTTAGGCATTGTTTTTTTTTTCAAAAATTCTCTCAAATATAGAATCAAATATAACTATACTACAGAATATATATTATAGATATTTTTATGTAGTTATGGTATCAATATCAGAAACTTCCACTTCACGCTTTTTTCAGAATTTTGTGCCATATATGTTAGCTATAAGTTTCACTAGACTTGATCTTATTTGTATGGGAAATTTAATTTATCGTTTATCGCCGAATGCTTTTCTAATATCTTATTCTAAGGGCACTACCATATTAATATGGATAGCGTTTGATATAACCAAAGAGAGGTCAATCAGGTTATGGTTGGTTTTAAAATTGTATGATACTGAAGAGAAATGCTATTACAACAGTCCCAACAATTCAGCAATTAATTCTAAATGAAAATAATTTATGATATACACTTTGTTTTTTTTGTTTTTTTTTTAGGTTTTTATATCTAAATCTTACTTTTATCCCTTACGAATACCCTCAGGTGCACTTGACAATTTCATTCCATTCCATATAGAACTCTAGCTTTTTAGAGAGAAAAGATATGTGATATATCTCATATATGAGGTATATATATCAGATATATGAGAAAAGATATGATACTAATAACATTGCATCAATAATGGTATGATCTTGTTTCTATTTTTTATTTTTTTTAGATAACCCTAGGACAATGCAATGTGCATTTCAATCATTTTATTTCTCAAAGATATGAGTTAAAGTCATTGATCCTTATTTTTCAAATATATTCCAATTTACTAAATACTGTTTAAATTTGTAGTCTAATTTCATTCTTAGGTTCCTACTAATGGACCTTTATGAAGTTCATTTATATTTACATGAAATAATCGAAATGGATTTTTCAGTAGAAGTAACAATATATATTTTAATTATTTCTGTATAAATTTTTTATGTTATCGAAAAATAATAGTAAAATAGTAACTTTGTATAATATTTGCAGACTATTTGTACGGCCTTTCAAAACTTGGTATCACAGGTAAAAATGTATTACTTTCTCTTCTGTCAAATTAAGTTCTACAGAGTATTGCGTAAAGTTCAAAGGCATGAGGTGCTCCAAAAAGTGGAAATATTTAAAAAGGGTATTCATACTATTAATACATAAAAATAATTTACTTTAAGTAAACATTTGTTTTTATTTAAATTTAAAGGTTTTGCGATAGAAAAACCATTACGGAAAGATATAAATGCTGCCATGGACAAGGCTTGGAGAATGACTCGTCTTCAATTGCTTTATTATATTTGTTCATGCACTTGCATTATGTGTAATTATTTCTTTGGAGCTTTGATAATGAACTATTATAACTTAGTAAAAGGTACACCGGACTATATGTTACGCCTAGGTAGGTAGCTTAACCCACCGATGTATGGCAAAAATGACTGACGCACTTATAGCATTTCCAGCCTATTATCCAATTTGGAAGGACAAAGGTCAAAGTTTTCCATATTATGAAATACAAATGTACTTATCAAGTTGTGGATTATATATAGCTGGCATGTGTAAGTTTAGCAGTGAAATGCTTATATATATATATTAAGTTATTATATAAAATGCAATAGGCGCTTTGACATTTGATACAACTTATGTTGTATTATGTCAACATAGTGTGGGTCTAGTGGATGCGCTCAAAGAGATGATAAAGTATTCTACTTCACCTTTAATACCAAAACAACGACGGGTTGAATATTTACGTTATTGTATTAATTACTACAGAAAAATAGAAGAGTAAGACTTTAATCATAATTAAATATGTATTTGACTTAAAACTTTGATGTTTTAGTTACGTTTTTGAAGTGAATGGACTTTTCCAACACATAAGTTTAATTCAGTTTCTGCTTAGTCTGATTATTATGGGAATAGTAATATTTCAGATGAGTATTAGCTTAGTAAAAAATTTGAACATAGTGTTAGAATAAATCTAACGACTGCAAATTTGATTTTAGGAATCTGACAAGGGAAGTGTTATACGCATGCTCATGTACATGTCGGCAGCTGGCTACCAAATTTGTACGTACTGCATTAATGGTCAAGCCATCATAACGGCGGTAGGTATATATTTAATTCATGCCAAAGTTAGAGTTTTCTACAGTTAAATGTTTTCATCTTTAGTGTGAAGGAATTCCTACGGCATTTTTTCAAACTGATTGGTACAATGAATCGGAAGAATTTAAGTATCTTATTAAAATGTCAATAATGCGTTCACATCGCGTATTTAAATATGATATCTCTTTGTTTACTGTAATGTCTTATCCAACTTTAATGGCAGTAAGTATGTTATAAATTTTTGACTAACACAAATTCTATTAATTAAAATCTAACCTTTCAGTTTTTTAAAACCAGTGGATCGTACTTTTTACTATTGCGGAACCTATCTGAATAATTTTAGTATATGCACTTTATTTTGAAATAGTAGGGAATAATATTGTTTAAACAGCATTTATACAGTTGAATATGGCAAATAAAGTTTTTTATTACACAGACACATATGTCCCTACATTAACAGAGACTTATCTTTATGATAATAGTTTCTTCTAACACATACATACGTTCATAAAATTGATTAATATATGTAATTAATAAAATAATAAATAATGATGTCGGAGCCATTTTCTTATAAAGAATTAACTACAATACATATACGTGTATAATACTAAGCGGATCACCATCTATCCATATATAATCTATCCATATATCCATATATAATCTATCCATCTATCCATATACATCTATCCAAATAAACCTAAGACGCTAATTTACTATTTCCTCTTTCGTAGCATTAATTTTATTATCCTTAAAATAAAATAAAGTTTATTCTATAAAACCTTTGTTGTGTGTTTTATTATATTTGTTAATTTGGGTTTGTTATAGCATTTATTTGTATATAAATTTGCTTGAAAGTAATTTCTAGTTGACGAGTCAGTTTAAGTATATAAAAAAATAAATATCACGCACTATTTGAATTCCTTGAAAAAAAAAAAGACTTAAAAGTAATAGAAATGCTAGTGGATAAATTTAATGTATAAGATAAATGTACTCCTTCAAAACAATGGTTTCTAAGCCAGCTGGTATATTTAGTGGTGGTAGCATAATCTTTGGAGACGATGAAAAAACACAACAAAATATTGTTCTCACATCGATTCTCCGTGATAAAATGACTAAAATCTCTTATTTCGTATTAATTGGATGGAATAATTTGTGGAAGTTATTTATTCTAATCAAGGCAATATACTTACCTATTTTGTTTTGCATTTTAAGTTTGAACATAATGGATATTATATTTTTTATTTGGAGAAAACTGTTTTAAGATATTGAAGTGTTTTCATTCAGTAGATACTTCTTTCACTATAACGCCACGTGAACTGTAAAAACATTATCTGTTAACTAAATTTTTTTTTCTGCAGATCATATGTAAAAAACATACAACCAAGCAACTTTTATAATTTATTTATGTTATTGTCAAAAATGAAACGTCTGAGAAATATATAAACAGTAAATCATGCACTTTGGATAACAATAAAAATGGAATCATTTAGGATAAGGAAAATCGTCAGTTGATCCATCAACTGCTACTGTATTGTAGAAAATACACTCTTTTTGTGTTGTGTTAGCTACACTCGACTCTCCCTATTGTATTAGCAGGAGTTGTATTAGCTAAAATCGTAATTGAATGAAGATATATGTTAACTTAGAACCTACGTCACAGCATATAGAACATGAAACATATAATATGGAGATAGTCAAAGACCTGATATATTTAAAAGCTAATTTTGCAATATTTATAAAAGCTATATTTTGCTAACCTAATGCATTCTTAAGTTACTTTTGAGACTAAAATCATGATTATGAAATCAGCTCTGACTATAACATACAAATATAAGGTGTCTTCGTTTTAAATAGTAGTGAAAAGGTACAAATGCAAAAACTGCAGAACATAATATATAATTATAATAAAATATAATTATTGTATAATTATTACATTGAAAATCATAATAATTCATTCGGTGAATACCTTATAATAATGCGAAAAACTATTTGCTCTAGAATAAAATTTGAAATAATCAACGACAAATATATGTTTTTTGTTAATATTGAAGTAAAAAAATTGCATGAATGACTTCAGATGAAAGTGATAGAGACTGTGATGTACTAAAAGCTGTATATTATTTAGAATGAAAACCTTAAGAAATGCAAGCTTTTGCTAATAATTTTGGAAGATAAGCAAAAATATTTTTGAATTAACAAATGAAAAGCAATTACTCACAGTCAAACCTTCTCATTTGAAATGAGAATTTCTTGATTATAAAAATTTCGTATGATGTAAAGAGCATTTATACGAAGTAGTATACTTGTTTTCTGACCTAAAACATAATAATTCATTAATATTTAAATTTCTTCAAATTTGGTCCAATCGTAGACATTAGCCTTACGGTATCCATAGAACGGCATGGAACTGGGCTTGACCTATCGTATTGATATCTCTTGTAACGCTTGTCTATTGGCGCTCAAAGAAAGGACATCTGTTGTGTTTATGTCCAATCTTCTCCAGAACCAGATTAAAGTTTTTGGGAGCTCCTTTCTTTAACACACTCAGCAATAATTCCAGCATTAGCATTGGTCAGACTGTCGTCTCTAAATGCTTCTGGTTTGTTGCAGCTAAAAATTTCTCGTACCTATTATTACGAGGAATTGTAGAATCAAATTGGCTTTCTCAGCTAATTGTGGAGAACTCGCTTCTCCTTTCACAACACCTAAGCTAACCTAGTCATCAGCTAATTTAGAATTTTGATTCAGCTTCTTTACTAGTTACACTTTCTTAAGGTTTTATAATAAGAATTATCTTAGTACAAAAGCTTATTAAAAATAAGACGAATCGTTTGGAAATTTTTAAAAAGAAATTCCAATATATCATTTCGAAAACTTTCCAATCTTCGTTTGTAACAAATTATATAAATAAAAATATATTGAGTGAAAAAGGAGTATAATTAAAAAAACAAAAAAGTAACAATTAACATTCATCTAATCTTTTCGAATGATTTAAATACTGCAAAAAAAAATAAAATAGAGAGCTGCAGCTTTGAACTTTTTATAGCAAATGTGGTATTAAAGCTTTGCTATGTTAGCGAATATTTTTTTTTTCGCTAACATTTAAGTAACATATTTTATTCTAGATAGGTATGTTAGCAACATAAATATGCTAATTTCTTTCTGATTCTTTTGTTATAAGAACAAAGCAAATATAAATGTACATTATTACCCTGTAGTTGATTTTAATTTTGAGCATTTTACGTACGATTAAGTTATATACGCAATATGTATGAATATGTATAGATAATAGATTATAGTAATTCTAAAAAGATTGAATTATTGCCAGAGAAAATAGAAAAGCTAAGGAAAAAATAATCTGCATCAACTCAATCATAATCAAGATTACCTATTAAAGGTTATTGTGAGGAAGTAATGGAGCGCTTTAGTAAAGCATTTGTTCCAAAGAGCGATATTCTGAGTATTTTGCATTTAAACAGAACAAATTTTAAAGGAAACATAAACAATATTATTACTATCGAATTATAAGATTTGAGAGCAAAAATTATTAGAAAATATGACTAAACATATAGATATAAATAAGATATAAGATTCAGATATAAACGAAACGAAGACATTGAAAACTACATTAATTGAATAATAATTTTACTTGAATGCAATAACTTATCAAAATTGCTTAGAAATATTAGGATAATAAAAACCAAGTGCATCATACTCTTTCCCACTTATCACAGTGATTACAGTTTCATGTCTGTTCTGGCAACTTTAATTATATAAGCTCAACTAAAGTCTTATTGTAATTAGAAATTGATTTTCCACTTTATCATTTCCGATTAATATTTCATTATAGTTCAAATCGTACATATAAGAGTAAGAGTTTATAAGAGTTTTTTGTTTTTGTATACAATGGAAACTCTATGAATTCACAAACTCCAAACAAATAAAAATTCTACAATACATTTTACATAATTACAATTAGTTTTTCTCAATAATATATTTCAATTAAAATTATCTGTATAATACTGCAATTTATGATATCCTGAAGAATAAAAAATATATTTTTATTATATAGTATTAATTCAAATTTACCACAAACTATAAGTAAAATATATGATTCTTTAAAATTTCACTCAAGTATCCCAAATCTTAATTTTATTTAATTTACTCAAACTAACAAAGATAGTCCTCGCCATTCAGTATATGTAAGAGTTCATATAACTTTGGACAAATAAAATGTATAAAGAAGAGCTACAGTTTAATACTTACAATGCAATGAATAAGTGCTATGCCAGTTCTTCACCTACGTAATACTGAAATAAAACTAAATAACGCTTTTATTATATCCTTCATAATTGTACCTGTTACAGCAGTACTTTTCTGAAAGGCAGTTGCCCTGTCTAATTATATTTAAAAGTGAAGGAGTTGTGTTAATGGTTAACGCCTCTTAAATTTTAAATGCAACCTTTACATCCCTCTAGAAATAATTCAATATTTTATATCGTTTCTCATAACAAAATAGCATATTTATACCTATTTACTATTTTGAATAATATATAATAATGCAGCATTGACTAAATTTTCTGCTGGGTATGCAAAAAAGCCTAAATGTTTGTAAGGCTATTGATAGTGATTCAAAACTATAATTAAATCATTGTCCTTATACATTCAAAGCGTTTATAAAAAATTAAAATTAGGGAATTGCAACATCTTAAATCATTTTACGTCACTAGATAGTATAAAAGCCTATGCAAAAGTAATTCCGATATTTAATTCAATACTAACTTTAAAACGTCAAAAGATTATTTGCCATGACGGAGGAAATGAGCATCCAAACAAAAGAGGAAGAACTTGAAAAACGTAACTATAATCGCATAAAGGAACTTATACGGCTATCATTTACATTAGGAGTCAATCTAACCAAGCCTACAGTTTTTAAAGAATCACTTAAAGTGTAATTAATTAATAATTAATTATTTTTATTTTTATGAATATAATTCTGTTGTTTTAGCATCAATATCTGTCTTATTGTGAGTAGTATTGTTTCTATATATGGACATTGGGCAAAAGTCATGAAACATAGTGGCAATATTCCCATGGTTGGCGAGGTAAGTCGTTTTTGCTAACGAGTATGAATTTAAATACCAAAATCACTAAATATCAACCTTTTTATATATTTTTATTAAATATTTTTTTAATTCTTTATAAAACCCCTTACAGGCTATTTGTACTGCTTTTCAAACATTGATTTCTGTTGTGAAAATGATTTATTTCCTTTTTGCGCAAAGAAGATTCCAAATCCTGTTAGCCAGTGTTCAGAGGCATGAGATTTTACAAAAAATGGAGTTATTTAAAAAAGGTATAACAAATACTAGATACCTTCTAGATAGAATACTAGATAGAATACAGGATATTCTAGATACGTAGTTCTAATGTTCCATAGTTTCGTGATTATGTGCGGATTTCTATTTTTATAGATTTTGCTGTTAACAAAAAATTAAAGTTGGAGGTGGATAATATCATGAATGATGCTTGGAAAGATTCTCGTCGTCAAATAATTTACTATTTATCTGCCTGCATTGGAATTTGCAGCAATTACTTTTTCGTGGCATTAGGTTTTAATATCTATCATCAGTGGAAAGGAACACCAAATTATATTCCTAGATTTTGTAAGTATCTAAGTACGAAAGTATCCCTACCAGAGTTACTACTATTAATAAGACGCTTGAGTAAACATCAATTAATTTATTTACAAACTATGTTCGCCCTACGAATTCAGAGATTCGAAGACTTTTTGCGCGCCTTTCTATTTTCCATTTCTATCCCATCTATCTCTAGACTATTGGAAATCATAATATCAGTTGGTATTTTTACTTAATCTAAATGTTCGAAAATTGAGTTCTCCGATTCCATATACAAAGTGTTCTGAGTAGTCTAAATACGTCTTGTAAATAGAACATGGTCTGCTGTCTTGTAGGTAATCATCTTATGATTAGTTAATCTGTCATTTCATCGTTATTTTTCGTTTTATAGGTTGATATTATGACCATAGTTACATTGACTTTCTCGGAGAAGATTTGAAGAGATTCAAGCTAATACCAAATGAATTTTAAGCCAATTAAACATATTTTCATTTGCATTAATATTTCTTTATAACCAGTTATAACATAAAACAAAAGTTAACATGAAGTTTTTACAGAATTTTGTTTCACGCTGAAAGTGTAATATATAGAAGTTAATTACTCTAAGAGAAGGTATGGGTTTTTTACATTCGGGTCTGTTCTTTCAATCCCTTTCATCAGTAGAAGCTTATTCTTCACTATTGATATAGTTTGATAACCTTTTTAGTGAAACTGCAAGTTTCTAAATTGAAACGGGTACTTTTTCAATGCCAATTCGATATCACTTCTTCTTAGTTTCCAGGGTCATATCTAAGCATTTGATGGTGAAATCTTACAGATGTGTGTCGTTAATGTATAGTGGAAGAGATCAAGTGTGCACACATTTGGTTTCCATGAAGTTTATGACTTTGTCCACTAAAATGGATGTATATTAGTAGTATATATTATTTATACAAATATTGTTCGGGTTGTAGTGCATTAATTTTGTTTAGTAGAATCTTGGGTTACGTTATATGTGAGTCTGATAAATGGTTGACACTTTTGTATGGAAGTAAAATTGAAACGCGGGTACTAGTTTTCTCTTTACAATTATGAGTAGCGCTGTTTAACAGGAAGATTTTTAATAAGTTTTGATATTACGGGCAAAATGAATATGGGCTTATATCATGCCGCTATGTTGATTTCGCAGATTTACTAGGGATGATTACTTCGGCAGTAATTTCACTCCTATTTAAAAGTAGTGTTCATTACTGTTGTTATTTTGAACACTATATTTTGAGAAAGACACATTTCGCTTTTGATGTGGTCAAAACCAAGCAATTTTTTTGGAACACATTTTTCTATTTTAGCAAATAGTTCTGCATCTCTTTGTAGAAGAATTTGAACTTGATTATCATAATATTGTTCAGATTATACCATAAATAAATTTTAATAATAAATTTAGAATTTTCACGTTAAATACTTTTAAATAAATTTTGTTAAGAAAAGTGAATGAATTCGTTTCAAGCTTAATAACTTTAAATGGTATGTACGATTATGTTAAAGAACTTTACAAACATTTTAATTTTAATGCTACAGGTAAGTTTACTATTACTACCATGTAAAATTTTGACTTAAGTTACTATATGTAATCAATAATAATAATTTCTAAATAATGTCATTATTTGTTTATTATAGCATATCCTGTGTATTACCCAGGTTGGGCGGAACGAGGTTTTGAGTTTCCCTATTATCATATACAAATGTATTTGACAACTTGTGCACTTTACATATCTGGCATGTGTGAGTGAATAATCTTGTCCAAGAAAGTCTAATTGTAATAAATACATTTTATAGGCGCCGTTACATTTGATGGTGTATTCATTATTCTATGCGTCCACGGAGTTGGTTTAATAAACTCTTTAAAGGCAATAGTAAAACATTCGACTTCAATGAGCATTCCTAAAGAACAGCGCGTCGAGTACTTGCGCTATTGTATATTTCACTATAAAAGGATCTACCAGTGAGTTATCAATTACAATTTATTAAAACTTATAATTATGAACTATATATATTTATTAATTGAGAATAGATATGTGTTGGAAGTAAACCAGATGTTCAAACATATTTCCATATCACAATTTCTGATGAGTTTAGTTGTCCTCGGAATTGTTTTGTTTCAAATGAGCATTAGTGTGGTGAGCATAATTCCGTATTATTGAATTTTGACTTTTAAACATTAAATATACTAAACAATATTTATATAAACTCAGTAATATTGAACAACATCTATATATTGAATTTTCATAGGAGTCCGATCGAAGTGGCTTAATACGTATGATTATGTATATATCAGCTGCTGGGTATCAAATTATAATTTTTTGCTACAATGGACAACGTTTACTTAGTGCGGTTAGTACTTTTCTTTGCATTGTATAATCTTATTAATATCTTATCTTCGACATTTATAAACAGTTATAATACTTATTTAAATATTTTTTTCTATTTCTTTATTGATATTAATAGAGTGAGGATATTCCATTTGCTTTCTACGATTGTGAGTGGTACAATGAAAGCGAGGCTTTTAAATTTCTTGTCAAAATGTCAATTATGCGCAGTCAACACACATTTCAGTTTGACATATCTTGGTTTACTACTATGTCACTTGCAACCTTAATGGCGGTAAGATTGGTTTCCAATTTTTGAAACAAGTTTTAAGGCAACTTTTTTAAAAAAATTCTTTTTATAGTTCGTTAAAACTTGTTCGTCATATTTCCTCTTGCTGCGCAATATATCTGAATAACTTCAGGGACAATTAATCTGGGAAAGGTTCATCATCAATTATTGTTGACCTCATTTTTGATTAAAAGGATTTACTGTATAAACATTACAAAGATACAATGGTATGGCATTGACTACAATATGTTACACCTGATTTACACCGAACTTTGCTATTATATTGTACATTTTCCTTAAATATATTATGAAGATATTCCCAATCTATTTACATTTATTATTTTATCTATTATCGAATATATACTGTATATGAAACAACAGAATTTAATATAAAGCACATTTTCATACAATGTATGCACTCTTTTTCTTATTTTCAGATCTTGTGAGTTTTCCTTGCAATACACACTTTCGTTCTACTTTTCTTACTACACTTGAAAAATAGTTTTCAACTATTTTTCTGCGATTATTAAAATGATTAGAAAGTGAAAGTTCATCAATGAAACGTTCTTTAATCTATTAGCGCAGCTAAGCATATATTTATACAGTGAATACCGTATCGTATTTAGAAAAAGGGAGTATGTTTGAATTAGTGTAGAGATTGTCGTTTAAATATATTATTCACAGATAAATAAACTTAACAACTCTGACATATTTTGTTCCTTTACTTTATAACTAATATTATCTTAAAATTTTAATAAAGATAATTTGAAAAGACTAGAAATTTATCTACTATGTAAGATCATGTACTACAACACTAATATAAATACAATAGTTATGGTTTTTAAGCAAGGGTTGTATTCATGTAAGGACTTTTAAAAGTTAATCTGCAAAATATATTCTACCTATTACAGATACTACTACTTAATGTTATTACAATTATTTTGGTGAAATATTGTCATATAATATATGTTATATATACAAAAAACATAAAACATTATTTTATTTTAAGGAAACTTTTAAATGAACGGAATATGATCTGAATACATAGCAAAGATATTAATTTTGATAGTATGGAAAATTTAGGTTGTGATTATATTTGGGTAATGGTAATATTTATTGATAAATAAACCGGAAAAATCAGAAAATACATTTCTTTCTGTTTTCCATTAGTAATAGTATTAGGGAAAAAATATGTTCTAAAGTGAGTTGTAATGCAAATTTTTAAATTTTTGAGTTCAGATGCAGTCATAGAATGCGATTTGTTAGCAGTAATATTTGCATAAGAAAAAAATTATATTTTAGAATATGTAGTACTTCTATAAAGCCCAATACCTTATAAACAATAAATGCATAATAATTTTACCGAACTGGGCTATACCATTAATAGCATAACAATCACTACTAACAGATAGTATTTTTGCTAGAATCGTCAGCTTTCAATATAAGTTCATAAATAATTTTATGCTAAATTCTATTCTCTTACTAAGTTCCTTTTTGTACATTTAATGTGTGGTAATTGTTAGTTTTATATTTCTATATATAAAATATATTTTCATGGGTATCATATATCATACTTTCAAATATTCCAACATTCACTGCACAGCTTCTTCAATTAACATTCGTTTTTTTATTTTCAAAAAAAAACCCAAATCCGTACTATATGTTAAGAAATAGAAAACTGTTTTACAAATTCTGGAGAGCTTTCGAACAGTGAAAAACAGATTTAATTTTTATGGGAAAGATGCTTTCAAAAAGCATTTTTTCCGCAACAAAAATATTGAACTTATACGAAAACTTTGGTTTGCTTTCACAGAAAAGCTACACTATAATTAAATAGATAAAAGGTTTTTGTAAATAAAAGACGGTTAAAATTTGAATATGTTCTGTTAGTTCGAAACAGAAACGGTATATTAAAATTCAATTAATTATTGATGTAAAATATTATCCATAAAATTTTCATTTATAATATTCTTAACAAAAAACAAATTTACAAAATCTTATCGTCCCTGTTTTTTTGTATGTCTTTACTAACTCAATAAAAACAAAAAATACAATAAAATATTCACATACTTAATATTAATTAATGAAATGAATGTCTGAAATTGTTAAAAAAAACATATTCAGAATATGAAACAAAATAAAATTAATGTCAAGTGTCAATAATACAATATAAAATAGTTAAAATACATTTAATATAAATCTGCAGAAATATATTATATTTACTACATTTAATTTTTGTATTAAATATAAATCTTAACCCCACTCAGTGAATATCTAAATAATTTCATTCCTTTCACACATAATAAACTACATATTTAAAATGCTCTTAAATGGTAACTCATGGCGTATGAGTTATTTATTGTTATTTTATTGTATTTGGAATTTGAGTACCACTTTTTTTTAATAGTAAGGGCAAAAGGGTTCCTGCAATTTGTAGTAATGATTAAAAAAATATTGTTAAAGCAATATTTAATTTTTCATGAACTCTGATTGATTTCTGTTCAGTATATAAAATACTAGAAAGTGACGAGAATTGTTTCAATCACAAAATTTAATTTTGCCTAAATGCCAACAGTTTTCTTCAATTAAAAGCAAATTACCAGAATAATAAATTTATTATCATTACGCTTCAAAAGCGGATCCTTTTATTCTTTATGAATATATAAATGCATATAAATATATATTAACTTTTAGTTAAATTTAAAATACCCTTGTAGAAATTATTTGGATGACTTGAGAAACAAGTACTGAAAATGCTTTTCAAGGACTTGTAACAACTTACCAATCATTGTACAATAACAGTTGTATTTTTAGTTGCGGAATGAATTTTTCTTTAATGAAACGATATGTAAAGATTATTATTAAATATTAGTGTATTTCGAAATTTTCTTCATTGAAATTGAGTAATGAAATAAGCGAAGATGGCATCTGTATCTACTTTATGTCAATATAAAAAGTATTTTGGGTTATTGTGTTTCCTATTATTTCAACTTCTTTATTATTCATACTTCCCAAGATCTACAAGAAACTCATTCCTTCAGCAACTGTTTTAATAAACTAATATTGCTTAAGAGCTCAAACTACTTCATATGGGATTTTATGTTAAACCTTTTCATACAGAGACCACAGTGAAAGATACTGAAAATGCTGATCAGAGCTTCGTTGTATATTACAAATATAAATTTCCAAAAGATATTACTGCGTATTGCACATATTGCTGTAGTAAAATGGGATTTATGCACAAGTCCAATAATATACGAATATCATTCATTTATATATTTATAAATGAATAATTTGAGTAATTATAAATTTATATATTTGTTCTAAGATCAATGCTACCTGCCGATTTTTGAAAATTAAAGTAATTTTTTTATGACTCTAGTAATATATTTGCATAAATTCCCTCATTTGAGTAATATGTAGCAATACAGGATTGATTAAATTCACTACTGAGTACGTATGTCTTTACATATGCAAAACGTTTATAAAAAATTAAAATTAGGGAATTGCAACATCTTGATTCGTTTTACGTCACTAGATAGTATAAAAGCCTATGCAGAATAATTCCGATATTTAATTCAATACTAACTTTAAAACGTTAAAAGATTATTTGCCATGGCGGAGGAAATGAGCATCCAAACAAAAGAGGAAGAACTTGAAAAACGTAACTATAATCGCATAAAGGAACTTATACGGCTATCGTTTACAATAGGAGTCAATCTAACCAAGCCTACAGTTTTTAGAGAAGCACTCAGAGTGTAATTAACCAATATTTAGTCATTTTTACTTTAATGAATGCAATACCGTTTTTTTTTAGAATCAATGTCTGTCTCATTGTGAGTAGTATTGTTTCTATATATGGACATTGGGCAAAAGTTATGAAATATAGTGGCAGTATTCCCATGGTTGGTGAGGTATGTTGTTTTTGCTTATGAATATGAATTTAAATACCAAAATGACTAAATATCAAACTTTTTATATATTTTTATTAATTATTTTATTAAATTTTTATTAAACAACCCACAGACTATTTGTACTGCTTTTCAAACATTGATTTCTGTTGTGAAAATGATTTATTTCCTTTTTGCGCAAAGAAGATTCCAGATCCTATTAACCAGTGTTCAGACGCATGAGATTTTACAAAAAATGGAGTTATTTAAAAAAGGTATTTCTTTCATTC